TTGGCAGGGGGTTGGACTGGATGGCCCATGAGGTCTCTTCCAACTCTTTGATTCTATGATTCTATGATTGAAACGATGCTCCTACACCATCAACTTCGCTGGACTGGCCACATTGTCCGAATGCTCGATCACTGTCTCCCAAAGCAGTTACTATACTCCCAACTCAAGAACAGGAAACATGTTGGTGGACAGAAAAAGAGATGTAAAGATGGGCTTAAAGCCAACCTTAAAAACTGTGGCATAGTCACCGAGAACTGGGAAGCGTTGGCCCTTAAGCATTCTAACTGGAGGTCAGCTGTGACCAGCAGTGCTGCAGAATTCAAAGAGGCATGAATGGAGAGCAAAAGGGAGAAGCGTGCCAAGAGGAAGGCATGTCAAGCCAAACTCGACCGGGACTGCCTTCCACCTGGAAACCAATGCCCTCACTGCGGGGGAACACCTACGGACCTACCGCCAAGTCATTATATTTGGAAGACCATCATCATTGGGCTATGAGGGATTGCCTAAGAAGAAATAAATAAATATATTGCTATATGCCTTTTTTTTGGAAGATGCAAATTACATTTTGCCCGTCCTGCTTTGTCTGCTTCCCCCCCGCCCCCCAAACCAAAAGACAGGATTTTGTTTTTTTTCTCCCACAAGAGCCAGTGCTTCACCAAACTGCCATGGCTCATAACACTGAGCCATGGCAGTTACAGTAGTGTCAAATTGCATTAATTCCATAGATTAGATGCACCCTAAAGCAATACATTTAGTGATCAGGTGAACTATTAAAATCAAAGTAGGCATCTTCTGTCCCCCACACTCTCCCTCTTTTCAGGTTATTCTCACCGTATTTCTTATTGTTCCACTTTCCCAGCAAAAAGGTCTGCTTTCATACTAAATCAAAGAATCATAGAATCATGGAGTTGTAAGAGATCTTGTAGGCCATTCTGCTGGGTTTTTTTTTTATTTTTAGGTGTGATGAACACTTGTTGGACTGTTAGGTGTATTGTGTCAAAATTTCATATCAATTCATCCAGGTGAACTAGAAATCCCAGCAACTACAACTCCCAAATGTCAAGATTCTATTTTCCCCAAACTCCACCAGTGTTCACATTTGGGCATCTTGAGTATTCGTGTAGAGTTTGGTCCAGACCCATCATTATTTGAGTCCACAGTGCTCTCTGGATGTAGGTGAACTACAACTCCCAAAACTCCACCAAACCCTTCCAGTATTTTCTGTTGATCATGGGAGAACTGTGTGCCAAGTTTGGTTCAGTTCCATCGTTGGTGGGGTTCAGAATGCTCTTTGATTGTAGGTGAACTATAAATCCCAGCAACTACAACTCCCAAACAACAAAATCAATTTTTTTTGAGTGAAGGACATACATTGGGTTGTTGTGTCCAAATTTGGTGTCATTTCGTCCAGTGGTTTTTTAGTTCTGTTAATCCCACAAACGAACATTACATTTTTATTTATATATATATATAGTTTGATTCCTTTTTTGCTCACTTCAGTTTGGTGAAATTTTCTTTTGCAACTCTTTGCTTCAGATAACTTGAAATGCTATCATCATAATATGATGAATGTCATCAAATCATCCCTCTTTCTCTCCTCCACCCAATCTCTCTCTCTCTCTCTCTTTTAGGAAATGGCGCAGAGAAGAGTGCAGAATATGGAAGTCACTACCTGCCTGGATACTCAGAACCCCAAAGACTCTTTTATTTTTAAAATAGTTCTTCTGGGTAGTTCCTCTGTAGGGAAATCAAGCTTAGCCTACCGTTATGTGAAAAAAGACTTCCGGGACTCTCTTCCTACAGTGGGCTGTAAGTGAATTGGCAATGTTGCATTAAAGGAAACAATTTGGCCCATGTCTGAATGTGATAAAAGGACCCAGAATCATTTTGCTTGACACTCACCAGTTCCGCTTTTTCTGTCTTACCTAGAAGATTTCCAGGACAACCATGAATTGGCCCCCTGGGACAAAGGGCACTGTTGCATTTGTAAAAATTGTAGCAACAGAGTGACATACCAATGACAGTCAATACAGTACACACCTAAAACAGGGTCAGTGGAGGGCTGGGAGTGAGCCAGGACCAATCTGCATGTGCTGAGTAGTTTTATTATTTTATTTATCGTGTCAGGGGCAGACTAAACAGTTGCATTGCATTTTTTAACAAACAAACAAACAAACCACAAAGTTTGCAAGCTTGGTAGTTGATTAAATGTCCTTTGACCAGTAGCTGACCACTTGGAGTGCCTCTGGTGTTGCCGCAAGAAGGTCCTCCATGGTGCATGTGGCAGGACTCAGGTTGCATTGCAGCAGGTGGTCCGTAGTTTGCTCTTCTCCACACTCGCATGTCGTGGATTCCACTTTGTAGTCCCATTTCTTAAGGTTGGCTTTGCATCTCGTGGTGCCAGAGCGCAGTCTGTTCAGTGCCTTCCAAGTCGCCCAGTTTTCTGTGTGCCCAAGGGGTAGTCTCTCATTTGGTATCAGCCATTGATCGAGGTTCTGGGTTTGAGCCTGCCACTTTTGGACTCTCGCTTGCTGAGGTGTTCCAGCGAGCGTCTCTGTAGATCTTAGAAAACTATTTCTTGATTTAAGTCATTAACGTGCTGGCTGATATCCAAACAAGGGATGAGCTGGAGATGTCTCTGCCTTGGTCCTTTCACTATTGGCTGCTACTTCCCGGCGGATGTCAGGTGGTGCAATACCGGCTAAGCAGTGTAATTTCTCCAGTGGTGTAGGGCGCAGACACCCCATAATAATGCGGCATGCCTCATTAAGAGCTACATCCAGTTTTAGTTTGGTGATGTGTTCCACACTGGGCATGAGTGTGACTCACCAAGACAACAACTTATGAAGAATTTATTCTAACGGGGGGGGGGGGGGGCGACCTCCTTTGCTACAGACTGTGCCTTCCTGCCCAAATTGTGGGGAATCTCCCTTGGGCATGATAATGTGGCATGTCTCATTAAGAGCCACATCTACTGTTTTAGTGTGGTGAGATGTGTTCCACACTGGGCATGTATACTCAGCAACAGAGTAGTATAGCGCAATGGCAGATGTCTTCAATGTGTCTGGTTGCAATCCCCAGGTTGTGCCAGTCAGCTTTCGTATGATATTATTTCTAGCGCTAGGTAGACAAAGATTGGCATAAGGTGCTCAAAAAGTCTCTGAAGCTCTTGTACAGGGTAAATGGTGAGTGGTATCTGGGCACACTCCCTTCAGTAGTTAATTCCATTATCCTGAACCACTAATGGGGGGGATAAAAGCTAGACTTTTAGACTGCAGTATAGCATTGCTATACTGTATATATTGTAAAAACAATATACATTTAAAATAAAATAAAACTTAGAGTACACAAGATGTAGAGCAGTGGTTTTCAAACTCTGGATGTTTTGGCCTTCAATTCCCAGAAATCCTAACAGCTGGTAAACTGGCTGGGATTTCTGGGAGTTGTAGGCCAAAACACCTGAGGACCCACAGGTTGGGAACCACTGATGTAGAGGGTAGATAAACAACACCCTAATCTCAATAAGTTAAATTGTAGAGAAAACAAAAGACTGTGCATTGCTACTTTAAAAGAATGTCTGGGTTTGGCACAAGGTACTGTGTCTTACATATTTGAACTGGCAAACCAATTCAAATGTCCTTAGTTCATTACTCTATATTAAGAATGGAATTCTTCGCTAATTTAATTCTCAGAAGACACACAGAGTAATTTTAGCAATTTACCACCTACTTTGAGAAAATTTGTGAAAACAACAGGGTTTTTAAAGACTATTTGCAGTTTGAGACTTATTCTGTGAAAAAAATTCCACATATGCTATTTTTGCACAGAAAAAATTCACCTCAACAAACAGCATTTTTCAACCTGTCTGAATGTGTCTTCATCTATGAGCCAGCTAGGAGGTTAAGATCTTCTGGGGAGGCCCTGCTCTCAGTACTGCCTCCTTCATAGTTGATGGGGACGAGACAGGGCCTTCTCAGTGGCAGTCCCTTGGCTTTAAAACTCCCTCCCTAGTTCTATTAGATCAACCCCCTCCCTCCTGACCCTCAGGAAAAGGCTAAAGTACATGGAGTGAGTAATCTACCAGTGCAATAAAAGAATACGGACTAGTGCAATGACAACCTGGAACGGCTTCGGACCATGATATTAGATTATGTGATTTTAAATAAGTGGTTTTAAGGTTTGATATGTTTTCATAATTGTTTTAATGTATATGTCTATTTTAATATGTATGCCCATATAGCATTAAATTGCTGCTTATATATGTAAGCTACCTGGAGTCCCTTACGGGGTGAAAGGGCGGGGTATAAATATGGGAAATAAATAAATAAATAAATAAATAAATTTTCTGTGCTGTAAATATTTGTATACAGAAATGCTGTTTCCTGTACAAAATTGAAATGTGTACTAAGATTTTGTCAGTGCAGGATTTTGCTTTCCTATAAGTTGAAAAACACGTTTTCCAATCCTTGCTTGACTACTGTTTGATCAATTACTACTCTATACTAAAATATTAGTATAAGCAGCAAATATAGCCATCTTATTGCTTGCCCAAACTTCTGGTTAACATACTAAAAATGCTTTACCCAAAACGCATCCTTGCCAAATCTCACCTGTTATATCTATCCTTTCCTATAACCCACAATTTATTCTTATTCTAGCTTTTCTTCACTTTAGCCTGTTTCCAATTCCTAAGAGGACTACGTGATTGTGATGTTTATTCAAGAGACTTTTGTAATATACATTATCAAAAGCCTTTTAAAGGTCCTGTTAACACTTTGTATTGCATGTTGTCGTCAGCCTAAACCAGGGGTGTCAAACTCATTTTCACAGAGGGCCACATCAGCCTTACAGTTGCCTTCAAAGTGCTGTTTCTAATCGTAAGACTATATACAGGCAGTCCTCAAGTTATGAACAAGATAGGTTCTGTAGTTGAATTTGCATTAAGTTGGAATAGGGACATTTTAAGTGTAACTCCAGATACACACACATACTTTGGATAGCATAAAGAAGGGTTAACACTCCTGTGGTGTTTGTTTTGCTCTCTGTGCCCATTCAGAGATTTCAACACACTTTCTGTCCCTATGATATTGGATTTTGAAAAATTTGGTTTGTTGTAGAAACAAGGATATGTATTAAAACATCAGTGGAGACACCTTTTTCCCCTTAGTAACTCATTCAGGAGTGGATTTCCCTTCCTAGGGGTAGATTTCTCTCACTTCCTATTGTCTCACCGTTTGCAACCATGAGTCATTTGTAAGTCAGACGTCTGTAACTCGGGGACTGCATGTAAATGCAACTATGTTGTCCGGGCATAGAAAGCCTAAAATACCTTCCATATGAAAGCCACCCACTGATTAACAAGGCCTGTAATTGTCCTGTAATTTAGTTATAATGATGTTTCTTAATATTTATATAGTGCTTCCAAGTGTTGAAAGTACTTCATATGCAAATCATGCTTCTATAATTGTAGCAACCCTGCAAATGTCACTACTACGTATTACAGATGTAGGGCTAAGAGAGACCAATATGCCAAAGAGTCACTTGTTGAACTAATAGTATGGTAAGAGGAGAACCAGGGAATTTCTGATGCCGAATTTAGTTTCCCAGCCACTGTTATGTCAGTGTCGTTTCCCACCTACGTCATTAGATATTTCAATAATGGTTCTTACTTTGGGGGTGAAATATTGAATAGATGGAGATAATCCTCTTGTCTCTATTTGCTTACAGTTTGTAATCTCTTGCTTTTAGGTTCATTCTTCACGCACATTCTAAGTCTAGATAATTCTACCATTAAGTTGGAGATCTGGGACACCGCAGGGCAAGAGAAGTACCATAGTGTTTGCCATCTGTATTACAGAGGTGCTAATGCTGCTGTTCTGGTTTACGATATTACCAAGAAGGTAAGGTACAGATGTTCAGTATATGCTTTCACATAATTTTCCTTCCTTTTAAATGTTTTGTTGTTGTTCATTCGTTCAGTCGTCTCCGGCTCTTTGTGACCGCATGGACCAGCCCACGCCAGAGCTCCCTGTCGGCCGTCACCACCCCCAGCTCCTTCAAGGTCAGTCCAGTCACTTGAAGGATGCCACCCATCCATCTTGCCCTTGGTCGGCCCCTCTTCCTTTTACCTTCCACTTTCCCCAGCATAATTGTTTTCTCCAGGCTTTGCTGTCTCCTCATGATGTGGCCAAAATATGTTTAAATGTTTACTATCTCTAAATGTGTTGTTGTCTTAAATGTATTTTGGGATGCATTTTTTAAATGGTAGCATTTTTACTTTTTTATTTATTTAATTCTTATTCAAATTTTATGCAACATCTCCCAAAATTAGATTAAACCAAGTCAACGTGTATTTCTGCAAGAAGTTATACTAATAGTACTTAACATAGCGAATTGTCTATACTGACATATAGATTTGTTACCCTTTTGTTATCCCACTTGCTGCCATCATCAACACTGGATTACAGATACATTTCTACAGCTGCCTGATAGTGGCCTGTCCCATTCTCATCCTTACTGAGATCTCCACCTTGGCCATTATATTAGATAACTACCTCAGACTGAAGATACTCTTAGGGACCTTCCACACAGCCATATAACTCAGAATATCAAGGCAGATAATCCACAATATCTGCTTTGAACTGTATTATATGGCAGAGTGAACACAGATAACCCAGTTCAAAGCAGGTATTGCATATTTTCTGCCTTGATATTATGGATTATATGGCAGTGTGGAAGGGCACTTAGACTCCTTTACTTTGCCTTGATGCAAATCAGGGTTGCACTGAAAATAGGGATGTCTTCTGTTTGTCTAGGAATACCTCTTTCATAAAACTTTCATAAAACTTAGGATGACTCTCCATTGGCAGGTAAATCCACAGCTCTGGGTTTACCACATACTATGGTACCAAATTGGCATCCATACAGCCCAGCTGTGCAGTAACCGCACCAGGGGCCGGACTGTCACATCATCTTCTGTATCACAATTGCTGCTGTAGGTCATGTGAGCTCTAGGCGATTGTGAGTGCCCTGTTCTGACATCTGCAGAAGTGCCTGCACAAATAGAAAGTTCTACCAATCCAAAGCAGCCAGGTTTCTCACTGGAGCAGCATACAGGGAGCACACAATTCCCCTGTTATACTATCTCCACGGGCTGCTAATCTTCTACTGAACACCATTCAAAGTGCTGGCTTTAGCCTACAAAGCCCTAAAAGGTTCTGGCCCAGCTTACCTGTCTGAACGTATCTCTCTTTATGAACCATCATGGAGGTTAAGATGTTCTCGGGAGGCCCTGCTCTCAGTCCCATCTGCTTCACAAATGTGGTTGGTGGGGGACAAGAGACAGAGCCTTCTCAGTGGTGGCTCTCCAACTCTGGAACTCTCTCCCCAGTGAGATTAGATCAGCGTCCTCTGTCCTGGCCTTTAAAAAGAGAACAAAGACATGGTAATGGAACCACCCTTTTGACTAGTAAAGTAATTCAGTACAAGAAGTAAATATGGAATGTGTATAATCAACATCTGGAATGGTCCGGTCTACGAGTTTGGATCATGTGTTTTTGATGTTTTTATTAGGTGTTTTTAATTTTTATACTTCATGTTTAAATGTTCTATTATCTTATGGCAAATTTGTCCTATTCAATCAATCACTCAATGATTTATTACGGTCTTTGACCAGCACAGTACAGAATGGGGCAATTTGTCCTATTGTATTTCATGCTTAATCATATGCTGTTTGATTTATGATTTGGTTATGCACGTAAGGCACTGAATTTTGCCATTATTTTTTGTAAACTGCTTTGAGTCCCCCCAGGGGTGAGAAAAGCGGTATATAAATACTTTAAGTAAAGAAATAATAAATTTTCTTCTGATCACGTTGCACCTCTGTTAAGTATCCAAAATGACCAGAAACTCACATGTAAGCTGAAAGGTATCCAGAGGAGGGCAACTAAAATGATCAAAGATATGGAGACCAGGCCCTATGAGGAGCATCTTAAAGAACTGGGTATGTTTAGCCTGCAGAAAAGAAGGATGAGAAGAGACATGATAAATATGTGAAAGGGTGTCATAAGGAAGAGAGCAGGCTTGTGTTCTGCTGCCCTTGAAACTAGGATGTGGAGTAGTGGGTTTAAATTACAGGAAAGGAGATTCCACCTGTACATTAGGAAGAACTTCCTGACCATATAGGCTGTTCAACAGTGGAACTCTCTGCCTCAAAGTGTGTTGGAAGCTCCTTCCTTGGAAATTTTTAAACAGAGGCTGGGTCGCCATCTGTCAGGGCGCCATCTGATTGTGCTTTACTGCATGGCAGGAGGTTGGACTAGATGGCCCATGTGGTCTCTTCTAACTCTATTATTCTATGATTCTATGTAGCTCTGAGGCCAGTTTGAAGTAGCGATATATTAGACATGATCAATCTCTGTTTCCCTGTTCTGATGAACACAGGAAAGAATGATGTTGATGTCATCCTCTTCGGTTATGAACTAGTCAAAATTAGACCAGCTTTTTAGACTGCTCTGAAGCCATGGAAAACCCTAGAGCAGGGGTCCTCAAACTAAGGCCCGGGGGCCGGATGCGGTCCTCCAAGGTCATTTACCTAGCCCTTGCTCAGGGTCAACCTAAGTCTGTAACAGCTCAAAAGCACACAACAACAACAACAACAACATCAACCCTATCTCATCAGCCAAAAGCAGGCCCACACTTCCCATTGAAATACTAATAAATTTGTATTTGTTAAAATTGTTCTTCATTTTAATTATTGTATTGTTTTTAAGTGGCTTTTGTACTATAAATAAGATATGTGCAGTGTGCATAGGAATTCATTCATTTTTTTTTCAAATTATAATCCGGCCCTCTGACAGTTTGAGGGACTGTGACCTGGCCCTCTGTTTAAAAAGTTTGAGGATCCCTGCCCTAGAGCTTCAACCAAACTTCACAAGATCCCCCAGCTTTGTCTGAAGTAGGCAAAGCTGAATTAACCCAGGATACTCATTGGAAGTAAATAAATGAAATGAGTATAGCCAGGAGACAGTTCAACATGAATCAAAGCTTTCATTCCTGTGTAGATATAGAATCATAGAATCATAGAGTTGGAAGAGACCTCATGGGTCACCCAGTCCAACCCCCTGCCAAGAAGCAGGAAAATCTTATTCAAAGCACCCCTGACAGATTGCCATCCAGCCTCTGTTCAAAAGCTTCCAAAGAAGGAGCCTCCATCACACAGCAGAGAGTTCCACTGCTGAACAGTCTCACAGTTGGGAAGTTCTACCTAATGTTCAGGAGGAATCTCTTTTCCTGTAGTTTGCAGTCATTGTTCCACGTCCTAGTCTTCAGGGCAGCAGAAAACAAGCTTGCTCCCTCCTCCCTACGACTTTCTCTAACATATTTATCATGTCTCCTCTCAGTCTTTGAATGCGATTTTCCTGCTTCTTGGCAGGGGGTTGGACTGGATGGCCCACGAGGCCTCTTCCAACTCTATGATGCTATGATTCTTCTCTTATTCAAGCTAAACATGCCCAGCTCTTTAAGCCGCTCTTCATGGGGCTTGTTCTCCAGGCCCTTGTTCTCTGATTGAATACCCTGATTTTTTTTAAAAAAAAACCTCTTATGTGAACATAATGTCTATCTATTAAATTCATAAATCATACTTATATGATTGTCAAGTAGATCAATAATTTCATATGTAATTTGCCTTTTCAGGAAACTTTGGAGAAGGCAAAGTTATGGCTAAGGGAACTGGAAAAAGAATTCCTTCCGGATGAAATAATCATAGTTTTGGTTGGCAATAAGGTAGATCTTTCAGAAGAACGAGAGGTCACACTACAGGTAGGGGGTGGTTCTGTTTTAAATGAATGCCTGATTTCTGTACATATGTATCGATATGTATCTATGTTGGCCAATGGGTGATTTTTAAAAAATTTCTCTCTTGAAATGTACAATTGAAACAATTCAAACCCATTTGTCCCTACTGTTAGCCATAGGCCTATATAATATAATCTTATTATCCACAGTGGATAAGTTCCAAAATACCCTCATGGATATCTGAAACTGGTGATAATAGCAAACCCTGTATACTATGTTTCCACAGATACTTCTCGGGGGGTGGAGGGAGATGTTTTTTGAAGTGTGGGTAAATACAACCATGGACATCAAATCTGAGGATAAGATAATTTTACTATATTTTGTTTATATAGATATTTTCTTCTATGTGGAATAAAAAATCAATTGTTCAAGGAGTTTGGATAGTATTAATTCTATAAAATTGTTTTAATAAATTAACAAGAAACATTTATTTTAAAAATAAATAAAAATAGGAAAGAATACAAAGGAAAGGAAATAAGGGGAACAGGCAGGATTGAGTAGAAAACAAAGAAATTTCATCCCATGCAACATTTAGAAGCTTGGAAGGAAATAGTAAGACTACAAGAGATTGCTGATTAGCTTGTGTCTTTACCAAAATTATCTTGGAAAAATAATAAGTATTTGCCTTACTACAGCATTCATCTAATTCAGTCATAATCCAAAAGGGAACTAGTATAGTTTTTATCAGTTGCTTTGGCAGCAATACTTAAATTGAGAAAATGTATATGCCAAGCCTCTAACTACTTTGCTAACAAAGCATTGTTTTATGTATTAAAAACAAAATAACATATTTTGCAAGGAAAACAAGTTTTGTAATACGGAGCTAATATTTGATCTTCACAACTTATTTGCTTGCTTACTTACTTACTTAGGCGATCCCTCGTTGGCCAGTCTTCCAGGATTAGAATTCTTGTGAGTCTTTAGGTGGCTGTGGAGCCCTATTCTTGATCTGCATCCAGGTGGAAGCCGGTCCCAGTTGGAGTTGGCTTGATGCGCCTTCCTCTTGGCACATTTCTCTCTTTCACCCTCCATTCATGCCTCTTCAAATTCCTCAGCACTGCTGGTCACAGCTGACCTCCAGCTGGAGCACTCAAGGGCCAGGGCTTCCCAGTTCTCAGTGTCTATGCCACAGTTTTTAAGGTTGGCTTTGAGCCCATCTTTAAATCTCTTTTCCTGTCCTCCAACATTCCGTTTTCCATACTTGAGTTCGGAGTAGAGCAACTGCTTTGGGAGACGGTGGTCGGGCATCTGGACAACATGGCCAGTCCAGCGGAGTTGATGTCAGAGGACCATCGCTTCAATGCTGGTGGTCTTTGCTTCTTCCAGCACGCTGACATTTGTCTGCCTGTCCTCCCAAGAGATTTGCAGGATTTTCTGGAGGCAGCACTGATGGAATCGTTCCAGTAGTTGCATGTGATGTCTGTAGACAGTCCACATTTCGCAGGCGTATAGCAGGGTTGGGAGGACAATAGTTTTATAAACAAGCGCCTTGGTATCTCTATGGATGTCCCAGTCCTCAAACACTTTCTGCTTCATTCGGAAAAATGCTGCACTCGCAGAGCTCAGGCGGTGTTGTATTTCGGTGTCAATGTTTCTAATGTTACACCATTAAGCTGTATCTCTGGCATTGGAAAGGGATTGGCTGGTGACTGTTGGAAGAGCACTTTGGTTTTCTTGATGTTAAGTGACAGGCCGAGCTTCTCGTATGCTTCTGCAAAGGTGTTTAGAGTGGTTTGTAGATCTTCTTCTGAATGTGCACAGACGACGTTGTCATCTTCACAACTAGTGGTCTGCACATATCAAGTAAAACACACTGCAGAGAGTTCATTTTTGCCCTGGATTTGCTTTCTAAAAAATGGGGGATGGGGCAGTACCTTGATGAGGAAGCATCTTACAGTGTTTGCCTTGTCTGAAAGACTTTGAGCCACAGCAATTCCTACTTTGTACAACTGAATGATCATAGCTTTTTTTGTCAATCAAGATGTAACTGCATTGTAATTTTCCTATATTATTCTAAAATCTTTAATCTCTACTTTTTGCACTGTTGTCAGGAAGCAAAGGACTTTGCCAACACAAAAAGCATGTTGTACATGGAAACATCAGCAAAAACTAATCACCAAGTGACAGAACTCTTCACAGCCTTAGGTAAGTTTAACCACACAGTTAAAAGTACAATTAAGGCTATTATTTTGTTGATGCGTTAAAGTAAACTGGAATAATCTATTATGGCCTACCAGACATACTTTTGGTACTTTTTCCAAGGCTGGGCACTGGTAGTGAGTTAAAGTAGAGACAAGATTTCAATGAGTTGTCATTGGGAGGGGAAGATTTCCAGCCCAGTCTGGCCTAATTCTCCAGTGCCTGGCTCCTGGTTGGCTTCTTACAGCCAGGCACTTTGAGATGGCTGGCTAGATCCATAGATTGTTCTCAGCCAGCCTTCCAAGATCATTCTGGCTCAGAGGACCCACCCAGAAACTGGGCATCAGAGAATTAGTCAGCCTTCCTGCTGCTAATGATGAAAGTAACATAGCCTCTGCAGTTGTGTCCATTTCCTTCTGCTGTCATTGTTCTGTCATAGCCTACAGCTCTGTAGCTCCTCGGGCATAGTGCACAAAGAGGATTTTGGCTTAGGATTCCACTTCTATGTATACTTACTATAATGTATCGTAAGTATACTATATGTAACTTTAAGGTAAAAGTAAAGGTTTCCCCTGAAATTAAATCTAGTCGTGTCCGACTCTGGGGATTGGTGCTCATCTCCATTTCTATGGAGGGTTGTCCATAGACGACTCCAAGGTCATGTGGCTGGCATGACTGCATGGAGCACCGTTACCTTCCCCCAAAGTGGTATCTCTTGATCTACTCACAATTTTAATGTTTTTGAACTGCTAGGTTGGCAGAAGCTGGGGCTAACAGTGGGAACTCACCCTGCACCCTGGTAAAAAAGCTCAGTGGTTTAACCTGCTTCACCACCAGGGGCCCCGTATATTGATATAACGACTATAATGATATAACATTTTTTCATTACTCTTTATTTATTTATTTACAGTATTTCTATACCGCTTTTCTCACCCCGAGGGGGACTCAAAGCGGTTTACACATAAGTAATGGCAAAATTCAATGCCAGTACAAACAATTACAATTATACACTATAATTAAACATAAATCAAATTAAAACCATACATCCATAAGCAATAAAACAATCATTAAAACAATAAAACAGTCTCGTTTGTCAAATCACCATTTCAGTCATTGTCTTCCTGAAATGCTGCATACATTTTCTTCTGCTGCCCGAAGGCCTGGTCCCAAAACCATGATTTAATTTTTTTTCCTAAAAGCCAGGAGGGAGGGAGCAGATCTTACCTGATTTGGGAGTATGTTCCATAGGTGGGGGGGGGGGCACAGCCGAGAGGGAAGCAGAAAACAAGCTTGCTCTCTCCTTCTTGTGGCTTCCTCTCACATATTTATACATGGCTATCATATCTCCTCTCGGCCTCCTCTTCTTCAGGCTAAACATGCCCAGCTCCTTAAGCCACTCCTCATAGGGCTTGCTCTCCAGTGGTTTGCTCTTCTCCACACTCGCATGTCATGGATTCCACTTTGTAGCCCCATTTCTTAAGGTTGGCTCTGCATCTCGTGGTGCCAGACGCAGTCTGTTCAGTGCCTTCCAAGTCGCCCAGTCTTCTGTGTGCCCAGGGGGGAGTCTCTCATTTGGTATCAGCCATTGATTGAGGTTCTGGGTTTGAGCCTGCCACTTTTGGATTCTCGCTTGCTGGGGTGTTCCAGCGAGTGTCTCTGTAGATCTTAGAAAACTATTTCTAGATTTAAGTCATTGATGTGCTGGCTGATACCCAAACAAGGGATGGGCTGGAGATGTCACTGCCTTGGTCCTTTCACTATTGGCTGCTACTTCCCGGCAGATGTCAGGTGGTGCAATACCGGCTAGACAGCGTAATTTCTCCAGTGGTGTAGGGCGCAGACACCCCATAATAATGCGGCATGCCTCATTAAGAGCTACATCCAGTTTTAGTTTGGTGATGTGTTCCACACTGGGCATGAGTGTGACTCACCAAGACAACAACTTATGAAGAATTTATTCTAACGGGGGGGGGGGGGGGCGACCTCCTTTGCTACAGACTGTGCCTTCCTGCCCAAATTGTGGGGAATCTCCCTTGGGCAAAGGCATAGCAATGGGAGCTCTCTGGAAAAGGGAAGGGAGCAAGGAGGGAAAGGCCTAATGCCCCATTAGGAACCTGCCTCTTACCTCATGCTGAAGCAAAGAGCACAGCAGGGGGGTGGAGCATCCTTAAATAAGCTACAGATCCGCCCCCACCAAGTCTTGTCTCCTTCATGAGGGCCTTCAAATCCCCCCCCCCACGCCTCAGGCGGGTCAACTTGGTTTCTTCGACTATATCAGTTGTTGCTGCAAGTCATGACAGTGTGAATAAATTGTCAAAATTTCCTTGAGATAGTTCTGGAGGGACACGTTTAATTTTTGCTTTTCATAGACTAAGCATGGGGATTTGATTAACCAGTTAAAATTCATGAGTAAACCAGGTTTTTTTTTTAACCTGAAAAATTTCAGAGGGGGGGGGTAGGGGTTGAACCCCTTGGCTACAGCCTTGTATCAGACCCACCTCCCTCAGGGGCACATTTCCTAGAGATATGAGAAAGAGTTTTCTTGGTGGCTATTTGCTGGCTGTGGAAGACATATATATCCTATAGTTTCGTCTATCTACTTACATCTCCTGCAAGATGTGCTGTGACAGGCATTTGAAGGGCAAGTCCCTGCAGATGACATCATTGCAGTGCTCCCAGCTACAGGAAAATAGTTGATCCTCTGCTCTCCTACAACATGAAAATGTCTAAATTTGGATTATGTATGACACACATGGGTGGGTGTTTGGTCACTGCCTATTTGGAACAGAATCCCATCCTTTGTAATGAGCAAAAATGTGAATTGCAATAGCCTAAACCCAATGTAAATTCACTAATATGTTTCCAGACCTAATTTTATTACAACAAGCCATGTCACTTGAGTTTCCTTAGTGGGAGAAAAGCAGTATAGAAATACATAAATAAATAATACTGGGCTGTTGTGGAGGGGATTTAACAGGTTGGACGCTGCTACCATTTTTATTATTGTGTTTTAATTTTGCTTTAATTGTATTTTAATTACAATTGTATTTCTGATTTTTAATTTGTGTTAAATTAGTGTTATAAGTGCCAGAGTAATTAATAAATTTTACAAAGCCTTGAAACAAATTGATAGCCAGGAAAAGGTGAAGTGGTACTGATAGCAATAGGCCAGTGGCAGGCCCATAGCCAGGATTTTGATTCGGGGGGTGCTGAGTTTGATTCATGGAGGGGGGGGGGCTGAGGAGCTACCCTAGCAAACCTTTTGTATGCATATGGGATATATTTAGCATGGTGATCAGATCATGATATGAATGAACATAACAGTTTAAATAATGTACCACTAAGGCCTTCTTGCGGACCACCCTGAGAATTTCGGGGGGGGGGGGTGAAGCCCCTCAACCCCCCACCCCCACCCCCGGCTACATACCTGGCCAGTGGCAAGCTATCATCCCAGACAAGAGGTAGAAATGAAACTCAAATTATCTAACAAAATGGATTTGAAATGAAACTCAAATTATCTAACAAAATGGATTTAATCTTTTTTTCAAAAAATACAGAGAGATAACAGTTTTTCCCTTTTACAAAGCTCATGAACTGTTAAAACAAAAGCAACAGAAAGAGAAGTACTTTCATGCAACACACAGAAAGAAATCAAGCATTGATCTACAAGAATCAACGTATAACAGCATAAAATGCTGTCAGAAGTAAAGCCAAGCATTCTAACACAAGGTGGTAAGCACTGTTGGAGCTGCTGTGAAAATATAACATTTTTATTTAGATAATTAAGGCTTCCACTACATTATGTTTGTTAGTCCCAACTGCAGTAATCCTGTTGAATCAGATTGTTGAATGTCATGTCGGTATGTAGGTAAATGCCATTAATTCAGTAGGACTACAAATAATTTATTGAGACTACCAATGAGCTCCAGGCTCCTATCATTTTGCTGTGCTCTTTGTAATGTTAGATTGGGCATATTTCACAATGGTAATGGATTGAGTAAATACTTGTGTCAGGTTTTCCATTAGTCTAACCATTTGTTTCAAATCAGAGTTTTATTATTTTCCAAATAGTACTTTATTTTTAACAAATACTCGTGACATATTTTGTGATGTCTACAGAATAATCCTTACAAAAGGTCTAGTATACTGAGCTGGCCATAGATTCATCACCAAAACCCTTAGCCTTTTATTCTAATGTTCAGTCTCCCAGTTTCATTTAAACCTAGCTATTTGTTGTTGTTGTTCATTCGTTCAGTCGTCTCCGACTCTTCGTGACCTCATGGACCAGCCCACGCCAGAGCTCCCTGTCGGCCGTTACCACCCCCAGCTCGCTCAAGGTCAGTCCAGTCACTTCAAGGATGCCATCCATCCATCTTGCCCTTGGTCGGCCCCTCTTCCTTTTGCCTTCCACTTTCCCCATCATAATTGTCTTCTCTAGGCTTTCCTGTCTCCTCATGATGTGGCCAAAGTACTTCAACTTTGTCTCTAGTATCTTTCCCTCCAGTGAAACAGACTTTTATTACTTTCTCAGTTCCCCGATTTCCCTTTGATAGTCCCAGCCAAATAGTCTACTATAAACCTTGTATGTCTCAATATAGTATATATACAATGCTTGTGTGTCCCATATTGACATTTATAGTATGATTTCAAAGTAGTCACAACAACTTCCAAATTACTGTGCATCCATTAGCAATTTATACTTTTCAGAAAGAAACTGTAGAAAAATGTGCTATTTCCTAAGTATGTTTGGACTCATCAGTTTGGAGAAATCTAGTCTATTAGGCTGCCTCAACTTCTGATGCTGCTAAAACAGGCCAAGAGAGGCATGGCTTGGATAAGGGAATCGGTCAACACCTTGTGACAGCAAGGTAGAGGCCCTACATCACTGAAAGAAGCAGTGGTCAGACTCCTGTTGAAAAAACAATCCCTTAACACTACCAATCTGGACAACTATAGGCCAGTGTCAAATTTGCTATTTATTACTAAGATCTTGGAATACGTGGTGGCCAAACAACTATAAGGATTTTTGAATGATGCTGATTTTCTAGGCCCATTTCAGTCTGGCTTCAGGCTGGGATATGGTTGCCTTGTTAGAACAATCTATGGTGGGAACTAGATAGTGGGAATGTGACCCTTCTGGTCCTCCTAGGCCTCCTAGGCTTTTGATATCATCAACCATGGTATCCTTCTGGAGCAACTGGTGGGAATGGGATTGGGAGTGGTTCCAGTCCTTCTTTACCTTCCAGAAGGTGATATTGGGGGATTCCTGCTTGGCCTCATGGTCTTTAAACTGTGGAGTCAGGCAAGGCTCGTCTTTATCCCCAATGTTACTTAAGATGTACACGAAACTGCTAAGAGAGATCATCCAGAGTTTAGAAGTTCTGTATCATAATGGATGATGCCCAGCTCTACTCATTTCCATCTGAGGCAAAGGAAGCAATTCTGCACCTAAACTGGTCTCTGAGGGTGGTAATGGACTGGATGAGGGCAAAAAAATTGAAGCTTAACCCAGATAAAATGTAGGTTTTGCTGGTGTCATATAAGATCAATCCGAGAATAGGGTCGCACCTTGAGTTAGATGGGGTTACACTCCCCCTGGAATCTCAGGTACAAAGTTTGAAGGTGATTCTGGACTCCGCCTTAAACCTGAAAGCTCAGGTGACGATGGTGACCAGGACTGCCTTTGCACAATTAAAACTTGTGTGCAAGCTGTGCCCATTCCTGGAGAAATCTGACCTGGCCATGGTGGTCCATGCACTGGTTATATCCCGTTGAACTACTGCAATGCGCTCTATGTGGGACTGCCCTTGAAAAATGTCTGAAAACTTCAATTTGTTCAGAGAAATGCAGCCAGGCTTCTCACCAGAGCTGACTCCAGGGAGCATACCACCCCGCTGTTGAAACAGCTCCATTGGCTGCCAATTCAAGGTGCTGGTTTTAACCTATAAAGCTGTACATGGTTTTGGTCGAAGCTACTTGAGGCACTGTGGTCTACGATACAGGCTGGGCAGTCCACTTAGATCTAGCAAGGAGACTATCATCTCCACTCAGCCCAGGAATAACCTACAGTTAAAAATCTCTAGAGAAGGCACATTTTCTGGAGCAGCTTTGAAGTTATAGAACAGTGGTTCTCAGCCTGTGGGTCCCCAAGTGTTTTGGCCTATAACTCCCAGAAACCCCAGCCAGTTTACCAGCTGTTAGGATTTCTGGGAGTTGAAGGCCAAAACATCTGGGGACCCATAGGTTGAGAACCACTGTTACAGAATGAGCTGCCGAAAGAAATCAGAAATGCAAATATACAGAATGGGGGATGCCTGGCTTGAGAGCAGTATGTGTGAAAAAGATCTTGGAGTCCTCGTGGACAACAAGTTAAACATGAGCCAACAATGTGCTGTGGTGGCAAAAAACACCAATGAGATTTTGGCCTGCATCAATAGGAGCATAGTGTCTAGATCTAGGGAAGTAATGCTACCCCTCTATTCTGCCTTAGTTAGACCACACCTGGAATATTGTGTCCAATTCTGGGCACTACAATTGAAGAGAGATATTGACAAGCTGGAATGTGTCCAGAGGAAGGAGACTAAAATGATCAAGGGTCTGGAGAACAAGCCCTATGAGGAGCGGCTTAAGGAGCTGGGCATGTTTAGCCTGAAGAAGAGAAGGTTGAGAGGAGATATGATAGCCATGTATAAATATGTGAGAGGAAGCCACAGGGAGGAGGGAACAAGCTTGTTTTCTACTTCCTTGGAGACTAGGACTAGGAACAATGGCTTCAAACTACAAGAGAGGAGATTCCATCTGAACATTAGGAAGAACTTCCTGACTGTGAGAGCCGTTCAGCAGTGGAACTCTCTGCCCCGGAGTGTGGTGGAGGCTCCTTCTTTGGAAGCTTTTAAACAGAGGCTGGATGGCCTCCTGTCAGGGGTGATTTGAATGCAATATTCCTGCTTCTTGGCAGGGGGTTGGACTGGATGACCCATGAGGTCTCTTCCAACTCTTTGATTCTATCTATGATCAGCGCCCTTCCTGAATTGAATTTCAATTACCTATAAGATGAATGTTACTATGGAGCATCCTTGTAACTTGTTTGTTTTTATGAATGGTTTATGTTACATTTCTTATTTTAGTGATGTTGTGGGTCACCCTGGGTCCATACGGAAAAAACTGGCATAGAAATTCTCTAAATAAATAAATAAATAAATAAATAAATAAATAAATAAATAATATTATCCATTTCACTTTTTTAAAAGACACCAGAGGTCTCTAGAGGCATTACAAGAGTTGGGCACAAGATCTACTGAAAGTGTTAGACCGGACCTCTAAGAATCCAGCTCTGTCCCTCTGTTGTTTCTATCATTACCAACTCAGGATTGTTCCAGGCCTTGAAGTTTCCAGGCTGAAAGCTGAGAGCTAGGAGTCAATTCCTAGTAATGTGATTAAGGAAATTAAATTCCAACCACAGTGGCTTACAGTTTGTTATTCAAACACACATATATTTTCCTTTTTTGGAAATTGTCAAAAGCCTATCTAGAATAATAGAATCATAGTATCATAGAGTTGGAAGAGACCATGTGGGCCATCCAGTCCAACCCCCTGACAAGAAGCAGGAAAATCACATTCAAATCACCCCTTGAAGGGGATGTTCCCAGGTCAAGATAAAATAAGATTATTCCTCCCCACTTACTTAGGGAAATATGATAAAATACATTTTATCTAGTCTATTTCCTTCCAGTCAAAAGACGAATGCAGAACAAAGTGGAAGGTTTTCACAATGCCTGGAAAAGAGGGAGCTAAATACATAGACCCAATGGAGTCTTTGCAAGTTGAAATAACCTTGCAGAGCTGGTGCTTTCTGAGACAAGCTGGAAATGTGTACACAACCCTTCTTGCCCAGAGATGAGTTTACCAAACGTGGAGAATTTGTGTCTTTGCCTCACATCTTGAAATGATCCATGGAAACTGACAAGTCAACTTGATTACTTCTATGTAACACTGATACCTGAGGAGCTGTAGTGCACAATGTTTCAGCTACAAGGCATGAGATGGAAGGAGGTGACCCACCCAAGAAAAATGAAGGCAGGGAATCTGTGCAGCATGATTGATGAAGTATTGCTGCAGTCTGGATAAGGAAGTGAGAAGAGAGATCTAAAATGGAGTCTGATAAAGTCACAAACACAGAAAGGATAGGCTGTCTAGAGATGGCTTTGAGTAACCCCAGCTGTATGTCTTTGCTAATAGATAATATTATTAGGCAATGCCTCACATACCTATAGTTAGAAAACTGAAAATGATTAGACCAAACAAAGCCATACCCTCTCTCCTCTCAATTGCCAGAAAGGTCCGGTGATGAAGATAGCTGATCTGTAAGGTGAACTGTAAAACCATTGTATTGTCGAAGGCTTTCATGGCTGGAATCACTAGGTTCTTGTGGGTTTTTTCAGACTATAGGGCCATGTTCTAGAGGCATTTCTCCTGACGTTTCGCCTGCATCTATGGCAAGCATCCTCACTACCTCTGAGGATGCTTGCCATAGACGCAGGTGAAACATCAGGAGAAATGCCTCTAGAACATGGCCCTATAGCCTGAAAAAACCCACAAGAACCTTGTAAAACCATTATTCTTAAATACCAGATACATTGGCATCCATAAGCCTATGCTCTGTTTTCCCCTTTATTTTATTTTTTTGCCTCTGTAAGCCTTAATAAATTCCTTTTCTCTTGATTCAAGCAACACCTGTGTCAATTTTTTTGCTGTCCTTAAATTTGGGGACTGTTTTCAATGCCCGATGGTCACCTTTGGTAGTGAGAAAAAAATTTGAATGAACTTTTGCAGGTGATGTTTCCACTTCATTTTCAACTTGGACTCCATTTCTGAAAGCAGACCAGAGGTAAAAGATACTGTGCCATTGTTCATGTGGATGTGACCTCAATAGCACTGACTGACTTCTTGGAGAATAGAAAGTGAACATGTGTAGATTTGAGCCTTTGCACACCTTGCGTAATTGCCTGATGGAGTCTCAATATTAGTTTGTGCCTTCCAGAAGAAATACATATTTAAGAAAGCTGATAATGATTTGGATCTATTCTTTCCCAGTTTTGAAATGGAAACTGTTTATGTCTCCTTGGTGAATTCTGAGTGGGGGGGGGGGGGGGGGGGGGGGGATACCGAATCTCTCAGTGACTATCAATACCATCATCAACGATATAATTGTTGTTAGGATAAGTGTAACCCAAGTGTTCTTGGACTGCATTTCCCAGAATTCTCCATCATTGGCTATGCTAGTTAAAGCTCTTGGGAGTTGCAGCCTAGCAATATTACTTTACCCAACATAACATGTAGGAGAAATGTGCTCAAATGTCTATCTTGCAACAATACCATATATCAGTGGGTCCCCTATGGGTCCCCAGATGTTTTGGCCTTCAACTCCCAGAAATCCTAACAGCTGGTAAATAGGCTGGGATTTCTGGGAGTTGTAGGCCAAAACACCTGGGGACCCAAAGGTTGAGAACCACTGACATATATGTAACTGAAAAAATGCATATCTATTTACAACGGTTTGCCCTTTACAAAGTGTTTATACTTCCTAGCCTTCCTCTGCTGTCCCAGCTGTACCAGATTGTAGACTGGAATGAATCTTGTAACAGCAGGGGCCATTTATGTTTTGTAAAATGACACGTATGCACACTTGTAGAAATATAAATAAGTAAATAAAAAGAATGTGTCAAGAGAACATAATTTAGTATATAAAGGAGGGCAAAAAGATATAAGGTCTAATAGAATCTGTCAGTTAAACACTATTCCTTTCTTTTGGTTTTAGCCATAAAAGAAAGAATGCAGCAAGGGACAGTGTTTTATTTCACTTCGGGGGACTAGAAGAGTGTTTATGATATTCTTTCATGTCACAGTGGTAAATGATTCATATATGTAGCACATCAACCATCTTGGAGAGCAACATTATACTCTTCTATTGGGAAGCAAGCTTGCAGGTGCCTATGGACAGATTTCTGGATTGTCTCTCCAGCTGCTCTTCTTCTTCCAAACCGTCCCACAGGTCGGATCCCTCGCCCAGTGTACCAGGAAGGATCAATGTCAGGATCTGGAAGGTAAAGCCCAGGAGAGAGAATGAGTAGGCATTTATTTCCGACATGGCCCTATTGCAGTCTAAAACATGGATGGAGTCACTGAGGAAAGGCACATTTTAATGAGCCAACATTTGATCCTTTCAATAAGCACACATCAGTCACTTTTTGAGAACTGTTGTCTTGAGCATCTTTCTTTTTGGTTAATCCCACAAATTACCATTGGTGATGATGACAACACTGGCGGTGATGATGGCTATGGTGGCAATGATTATGATAAAGTGATAGCAGATAAATAACTAGTGAAGAAAGAAGCTCAAATGCATACTAGCAATTGTCACCTATGGCTATGGGAGGCAGTAAATTATGATAGGTACATTGCATTCTAAACTACATCCCTACAAGTTTTGGGAGACCTGTAGGAGTCCCCACAGTTGGAGGTGGGAGGATGGCTTTTGATAAAATGACAAACTTTTGTCTTCTTTCATAATTCAGTATTATCAGACTGTTTATCTCCTCAAAAGTGAATGTTACACATGAGTAAAACCTGACTGTGCATAGCTGAATTCCATAGAAAACTGTCATTCTATGTTGCGTGAGTTTGGGGCTTAGATCTGAAGTACCCCACATGGTTATGTGAAATTTTCATCAGAAATCAATCTAAAAGACATGGGCTGACTTTTCCATAGTACGTAGTGTACCTTAACTCTTATTTTAAAAAAGGAACCCTCTCCCAGTCTGAGTAGAGTGACAAAAGGTTAAAGGATTGTCCTTGAAGAACGTAAAAGCAGCTCTAGTCCCTTCTCTCTCTGCCATGGCATCATTTCTGGACCTCTTGAATGCCTGGTGGGGAAAGGGTGGCAGCGGCCAGGAGCTGCTGCCTTCGTGAGATAGCATCTCTTGCCACGGAATGACCCTTGACTTATCCATGGTTCATATCAAAATCCATAATTCCCCCCCCCAAAAAAAAAAACCTGCCCTTGAATTATATATGAGCATATATTGTACTCTAAAGACCCAGAAAGCACACAGGTTTTACAGGTATATGTCCCCATTCACCTCAAGTCAACCAATTTCTTTGGTTTCCTCTTGTATTCTAAAAATACCTCTCCCAAGTCTTAGTACATTTTAAAAAAAGCTTTAAACCCATATATACTGGGATTCTTTATCTCATCCTTTCACTTCTGATGACAATATTAATGCAATCTGTCCCTCTCCATCCAAGATCTTTTTACAAACTGCTTCTTGGCAGGGGGTTGGACTGGATGGCCCACGAGGTCTCTTCCAACTCTTTGATTCTATGATTCTATGATTCTAACTAAATTTGACCCTCTGACTGAAATAGGTGCCTAACCCTTGCTTTCAACTCTGCCTAAGACTCTGAAGGCACCATATCCTATTGAATCTTGGAAGCAGAGTCATGGCAGATTAGTACTTGAATGGGGGATTGCATGTGGCCAAGCAACATGGTGAAGATGGCAAGAACAATTGATGTGCAAGAACACATAGATTAGAAGAGGCTAGGGCAGTGTGCTTTTGCCTGAGCCTAATAGGGAAGGGCAATATTCTGTCCTCCTCCTCTCCTCTCCACCCTGAGTAAATTGAGTGCAATCTTCTTTTGCACTTTGAACAAACTTTACATGAACCGAAGAAAATTGAGGACAAAGGAGGAAAGTGGGAGGAAGATAGAGAAACTAGGCACTGAGACTGTCCTTGTCAAATCAGGAGATTGACTTGAAAGTACACAATTGTGCCATATTTAACTTTCAAATACTGTAAAACACACACACACACACACACACGTTTTGTTCAATAGTAACCTGCCCCTGTGTTATTTCTTGATCACTTTTAAGACAAATGGAATGCTTGACCAGCAGAAACATACTTCTAATTTCCACGGATTCATCCAGGTTTCGATTTTTAGTGTCCGGAAATACTAGGTGGTCCAGCAGCAAACACAGGAGGCAGACAATTAGCAGCCGCATTCCTTTCAAGTTCTTTCCCCCCTCAAATGTCTTGTGGTTTGGAACCAAAGGAAATGGCTGTAGGTACAGGGGGAAAAGAATAAAAAGGAGGACTTTTCAGTAAAGGACAGCAGCCACAACCAAAAATATAATTAAAAACATTGCCCCTACAGAGATACAAGAAATGTGTAAGATGTATTTCAAGAAATGGATGGAAGACGTGGAAGATACATTTCAAAAATGTTATGTTTCTTAAAAAATTACTCCCAAGTAGTCAAACCTAGATTTTATCACTACAATCAATGCAAAACATACAGATACTTCTTATATTGGTTAATGAAGCTGATAAGCGTCGGAATTGCTGGTGTCTGTATAAACAAAAGAAATTACTATCCATTTTTCTTCTGTCTAATTATTTGTATATCTTTCAGTTTAAATGTTCAGCCTGTGAACAAGTAGATACAACTAATTGGTTTTAAAAATTGCATTGGTGCCTTTTCTTGCACTTAAAAGTCCATGAAAGTTTATTACAATGGAGAGAGGGCGGGTTATAAATAAAGTTTTTATTGTTGTTGTTCTTGTTGTTATTGTCATTATTAAAACACTGTACACAGCTATTACTACTACATTCTAGGAATAATAGCTATATTATAACTATCAGTAACCATGTGCTGTTATTGTCACTACACCATCATCACAATTATCATCATCATAATCCTCTTCTGTCTGATAATCACTACTCTCATTACTGCTGAAGCAGGTGAGTTGACTGGGCTTATTGAGTCATTGAGAAATTGTCTTTACTACAACACGTTAAGTTTCCAGGATGTGGTTCAACCAGGTTTAATACCTGTACTTGCATTATGCCCTTCGTTTTTGGACTTTCAGTTGCAGTTTTCTTCAGTATTGCAGTTTAATTTTTGGTAGCTTTATATTAGTGACTATACTAGATAACAGTAATATTTATTACAATACAGTATATAGTGACACAAAGAATTGTTTCATTTACTGCAGTTCTACATTGAGTTAGGATTCAAAACTATTAAATGCAATAGGAACTGCAGTTTCACTCTTTATTTTGATCACTTTATCAGGGGTGGGAGTCATGCAATGATGTTGCTCCAGATGGTATGGAATTCCATTTCCTAGCATACTTCACCACTGTATACCATCCGACTGCCCCAATTTGCTAGGGGCAGTCCATTTTGTCATCTTTCTCTTTTCCACTTTCCCCTTCTGTTCTCTATTCCATAGCCACAAAGTGAGTTCAAAGGACATAGTTTATAGAGCTCCCCCATTGAAGTGCAGTGAAAAGTAGATGCAGTGTCGACATACTTAGTTACTATTTGTATTTGTATTGAAGGCAAAACAGGTTGTTTTGCCTTCTCTGCTGGGACATCACCAAACTACCTTTACAGCATTGAGCCATGGCAGTTAAAGTGGTGTTACACTGCATTAATTTTACAGTGTAGATGCACCCAGAATCACTGAAACCAGGACCTTGAGTTTGCAAGATCTTAACAGGGCTGTTCATAACTAAGTGTCTTAGAAGTTTCTCATTCATAAGGTTGATATAAGTTGAAACTAATTTGACTTAATGTAATAAGAACAGCAAAATATACACTTACCATACAAATGTACTTTTATAGGACTCTTTTTGTACAAACTGGAATCCTAGAAAATTAAGTTTCTCAGTTGTGTGGAAAAAGCTCTGGGAAAAGCAGGTATGTATGTATGCATTGTACAGTTATTTTATATGCCTCCTATTTTCAATATCAACAACAACAACCAGGCTCGCTAAGTGCTAGTCTTGAAAACCATTATGATCTAATTGAAAACATGGCTAAGTCTCACCTCCAGAATTGGAAGAAAATCAAGCCACAAGTTAGCTAGCTCCTGTTTTCCAGCAGTCCAACAAATGGAAAACTAGCAAAATTGTCATTTATCTTCTTAATTTTTTGCATTGTGGATTGTCATTGATATCTATAGTTAAAGTTGTGGTAAATGATTTTTCATTTGGGAATCCTGCAGTTTCTGCAGCTACTGGCCATTTAAAAGTTCCCTTGCTTTCCTGGCAGAAACACAAATTTGTTTCAAAAACAAGATACCTGAACTTTGACCAAAATGCTCAAATATCTAATCAGGAAATCATTTGACTTGCATTACTTTAGCAAACCATGATCGTTTATGATTGAACAGCTGGAGACACAAAAATGGGAAAAGTCATGCATGCACACAAGAAGCCAATCTAATGCAAAGTTGATCTGGAAATGGAATGGGTTCTGCTTTAGAAAGGTCCTAATATTACTTCGATGAGGCTAGAGGTGCCATGCATACCAGGTGCTCTATGCAGCCTTGCTTGCACACTAGTATAGAAAGATGGACAGAACTAATAGAGTGAATTAAAAAAAAGACTTACTTTTTCTGAGCAGTAGAACAGGAGAGTGGCACAGTTTTCTGTCGTTTCAGTGAGAGGACTCGGTCTGAGTTCTTTGCCTTTTTATGCCTTGCCTTTGTCTCTGTACGGTCGCCCATGACATCAGCGGTGGGACAGGGCACCTCAACAGCATTATATCCCCTCCCATTACGAATTAACACTCACTTGTATCACCTCAAGCAACATTTTCATGACTCAGTGTATTTTCTTGCTTTGAACAAATTAGATTGCTAGGAACTAAACTGGCCATTTTCCTTATTATTTTGCACTTGAGATTTCAGCTTTTCCATATCATTCCTATATATTTTAAAAACATAAACTTGGAATTGGTTTAAATCAGTTACAAGTTCAGGTTTTTAATCCCTGTACTTGTTTCTTCACATGGACACTTTCCATTCCAATAATCTCACATATTTCTTTCACATGCCTTTTCATCTATCTATCTATTTATGAATGATTGATTGGTCTGTCAATCTATCTATTGACGATTGCTGGCTTGTGAATATGTACCTTTTCCTATTTCTGTGACTGTCGCAATTTCATTTTTCTATTTATCACCTATCTGTCTGTCTGTCTAATCTGTGAATAAATATAAACAGAGAGCAAGCTGTCAGATATTCATAATATTTCACTAGAATAAGTTAAGCAATTGTGGCCATTATATTTGTGCATATCATTCTTGCAGCCGTTTTAGCATGTACAATTTTCACCCCCAGTGGAGTTGTGCTTTTCCAGGGTGCTGGTAAATCCACATACAACTACAGCATAGAATCCCCTATCACATTCCTATGTAAGAAGTGGCCTATCAGATGCGATTTCCCAGTGGACATAGAAACAATAGAATACAACATGTTAAACTTAAATAAACTTGTTAATTAAATCATCGAAAATTTGTTGTTATGACACTGAAGCCACGTATACAAAGCCACCTTATGCCTCGTCCAGAACTGCTGACTTAGACAGCAGCTTTTGAAATCTCTAGCTCAGATCTTGCCACAAGCTTTGCTGTCTGAAATGTGACAACTTGAACATTGAATGTCTGATCCATGCAATGGACACATTCCTTAATCACGTTTTAAACAATTTACTTTAATTAAGAATAAAAAGCGATATTTTTTGTTTTCTTCTATAAAAAAAAGTATCTCTGTGTTGAGAGAGCAGAAGGTGAGCTGTGTATTGGGGGTTATTCTTGGCTTTGCATATGTGTGATGCAGCAGCAAAGAACACAAATGTGCAGCTTGTTTCCAAAAAGTACCAAATCAAAAAAAAAAAAGAAAGAAAAAGAAAGAAAAACAAGTGGGGTGCATTACTGAAAATACTTGTCAAAAACAGAAGCATGAAATGGAAATTAGTTTCTGTTAATAACAACCCTGTAGTCAGAATTCTAAATATTTCCTAAATGTGAATATTTTAGTAAGACTTGTGTATGTACCAAAAAAAAAAAAAAGAAATATGAGGAACAATATCTGAACATAATTTTTTAAAAAGAAAAAAATATGGCAATATGTCGGATATAGAATTTAATGAATTTTTATTGCAGCTCTAGATCTGAACATACATACATACATACATATATACATTAGGATAGAAAGAAACAGTGCTGTTTGAAGCATGGTACCATTTTTGAGGGAATGTAATTGTACCTTTATAAACTGTTCATAATCATTTTAGGCAGGAAAAACGAAATGCAAAGATATAGAATGGGGGACAATGCCTGGCTCGAGAGCAGTACGTGTGAAAAAGATCTTGGAGTCCTCGTGGACAACAAGTTAAATATGAGCCAACAATGTGATGTGGCGGCAAAAAAAGCCAATGGGATTTTGGCCTGCATCAATAGGAGCATAGTGTCTAGATCTAGGGAAGTCATGCTACCCCTCTATTCTGCTTTGGTTAGACCACACCTGGAATATTGTGTCCAATTCTGGGCACCACAATTCAAGAGAGATATTGACAAGCTGGAATGTGTCCAGAGGAGGGACTAAAATGATCAAGGGTCTGGAGAACAAGCCCTATGAGGAGCGGCTTAAGGAGCTGGGCATGTTTAGCCTGAAGGCTGAGAGGAGATATGATAGCCATGTATAAATATGTGAGAGGAAGCCACAGGGAGGAGGGAGCAAGCTTGTTTTCTGCTGCCCTGGAGACTAGGACGCAGAACAATGGCTTCAAACTACAAGAGAGGAGATTCCATCTGAACATGAGGAAGAACTTCCTGACTGTGAGAGCTGTTCAGCAGTGGAACTCTCTGCCCCGGAGTGTGGTGGAGGCTCCTTCTTTGGAAGCTTTTAAACAGAGGCTGGATGGCCATCTGTCAGGGGTGGTTTGAATGCAATATTCCTGCTTCTTGGCAGAGGGTTGGACTGGATGGCCCATGAGGTCTCTTCCAACTCTTTGATTCTATGATTCTATTATTTGTCAGTCTATTTAAGTTGAAGACACCTGAGCAGGGATATGGTGAATGAATTCCAGCTAAGATAGACTCATGTTGCCAGTGTGCAAGCAAGAGAGGGCTCTTCTATGTAAAAATTATGTAGACGAGAGCATTTCGGCAGTTATTACTGGTTACATGACATGACAAACAACACCTGCTGAAATCCCCTCTCCCACACAACCATTAAAGGTATAGTGTTCAGTTCTGCATCTCTAAAGCAGGCTTACTGAATAAACAGAACATACATAAATATTTCAGTGGGCCTACTCTTACTGGGACTGACAATTGGATTTTGTCCAAGAGTTCTATTACAGATAGAACTATTGGTCAAAATCCAATAGTGATTAGCTCACTAATACTGACTATTTTCATGGATAAAATATGTCTTAATATTTGCTTTGAACTACCTAAAATTTAATACTAAGACTCCACCTTGCTCTGTGACCACAATTATAGCGCTATGCTCCCAATTTTATCTGTCATGTTTTCATCCTATGGAGTTCTGGAAGTTTAAGGGATGGTCCTGTAGGATCCTCAGTCAGAGAATTCTCCTTTGGGGCCACCAAACCCCTGCGTTGGAGAATCCGATCCTTCCAACCCAACGTCCTCTGAATACGTGGGATACTATAAATAAGAAGGAAGTATTAGATAAAAACCCCACCCAGGTTGCTTAGAGATATCAGTAACAGCTAGGAAGATAGGAAACTCCCTTGTCACATTAAACCAGTTTTTCTTGTAGCCCATTACTGGGGCAGTGACTGTCCAAGTTTGCCAAGGAAGAGCTGAGTGGTTCTCATCACATGTACCTTATTTTTTAACCAAATGCTAGGGATCTTATTTACATGCCTAACCACTGAGCTTCGGTCCTTATAGAACTGTTACCTTCTTCTTTACCTCTCATCTAGTAATCATTACCCTTGCAAAGTAGTTTTTACAATTTTGAGGAGAACTTGGAGAAGGTGTCTTCTCTCAGGACATGTGTATAAAATTACTTCCTGTTTCCTGGCATACTCCAAAGCAACAAAGTGTTTTGTATAAGCCTACTGGATTAGGATACTCTGTTTACTGGAGCATAAGCTTCCATGGTCTAGAATCCAGGATCCCATGTATTGAGAGCACTTAACAAAAATGGCACTACAATAACACTTAAGTCTCCGGGTTGTCATAGCACTCTTTTTCCAATTAAAATATGTAGTTTTAACTCATGGGGAAACACGGGGGATATCTAAACCCACTAAGAACTGAAAAGCAGCTTTATCTACAAGCAATTGTTTTGTTCAATGTGTTGTCGAAGGCCATTCATTACTAATCAAGTTGGCCAACTCCAGCATTCACACTTGCCCCAAACAGACAAGAGTTCTTTTTCCCACTCTGGACATTCCACAGATATATAAACCCAATTTTTCTAGTTTCCAACAGACTTCACAACCTTTGAGGATGCCTGCCATAGATGCAGGCGAAATGTCAAGAGAGAATGCGTCAGGAACACGGCCATACAATCCGGAAAACTCACAGCAACACAATTGTTTTGTTTTCTAGTTCAGTGCACTGAACTAGATGCCCTCCCCCACTCCAGCATCTGCCTGGCCACTACAAATCAGTATTAAATTCTAGGTAGTTCAAAGCAGTGCAAATAGTAGAAATAACACATTGCCCCAAATGGACTAAACCACAGGCCTACATAATATGACTTAATCCACTTGTCCAGGTAAATCATAATATAGACACATAGCACATGAAGAAAAATACATTAGCTACAATTCCTATTTAACAGATGTGGATCAGTAAGTTTGACCCTAAAGAAAAAAATCCTTATAACTATGCTGTGCGGCTGGAAAAAACGGGATCAAACCTCAAAGGAACATTGCTTAGGGAATTATTTTCAAGTAAAGTTTGCTTCTTTTCTCTATTTCTTGGTGCAGATTGGGAAGCAGGGTGGAGGCAAGAAAAACGGAGTGAAACCTTCAGCCTGAAGCCCATTTCATTAAACTTGAAAAACCTTCATTGTTTTCAAGACCGATGGGTCATCACAGGTTTCTGTAAAGTATCAAACATCAATATGAGTCTTTTTGCAGTCAAACCAGAACTATCATATTGAAATTAAATCCTCCCTTCCCCCATTCCCCTATACTCATCATAGAGTAAGGTGCTAAGACTATACATTTTCAGGGAAGAGTGAACATGGTGACAAAAACCAGGTTTGTGTTTGTTCCAGAACAAACACAAAACAATCTATGTAAGCAGAAATTATAATATCCAAAGAGTATATAGGATGCAATTTATCAAAATCCCCAGTACACAGCTTAATTCAGTGGCATAAAGCAAAGTGAAAAGGAGCAGCTGCTCTCAAACATAACAGTGCTAAGTCTGAATATGGATTCCACTGTATATAAGCTTCAGAGATGCATGCAGTGAGAAAAATATATTTAAACGAAGTAAGTGATGAGTCATGAGACTATATGTAGACTGAAGAAAATAATAAAGATAGAGCACAACTCTCAAAAAAATCTTCATGGCTAAAATCCAAGTCAAGTCCAGTGGTAATGGAGCGCTGCTCTCACAAAACGTCTTAGTAAGAAAAGTCCAAATAGAATCCAACAGGGGTGCCTGAATATTTTTGTACCCTGTTTCAAGGAAAGAAATCTCCTTCTTCAGGAGTTGATATGATCAGCAACTAGACTCATATCTACAACAAAACATAGAGTAACAAGTATTTTCCAGCAAAATTACAGAAGTAAAGATAACTCATATATCAAACATATACTCACATAATACCTGATAGCTTTACAAGAAATGATTTTGCTTGTAGTAATTCAAACTGTGAGTAATTCTGAAAGTTCATAGATAGTTTTGTGTTTGTTCTGATACCCTACAAGTATTCTGGGATACTGTATACTGGTGTGATGTTCCCATGTCTGGTTTAGAGTAATTTTATATTTATTTATTTATTTATTTATCAATTTTATATACCGCCACTCCCCGAAGGCTCGGAGTGATTTACAATATACATATGTGATATATTACATTTAAAATCAAAGAAAAATTTCAATCAGGAAGATTCAAATGCCAGCCTAAATAAATAAGTTTTACAAGCTCTACAAAAAAAATTTCGGAGAGCTCGTGTTTCTACTGGCAAGGCATTCCACAGGTAAGGAGCCACCACCGTGAATGCTCTACGCCTAGTAGACATCAGGTGAAAGGTCTTAAAATTGGGAACTTCAAGGAGATTCTGATCGTCTGAACGGAGTGATCTCGGGGGTTGGTAGGGGGTGAGGCGGTCCCTCAGGTACTCTAGCCCCAGGCCATATAAGGCCTTAAAGGTAAGAATCAGCACTTTGAAGGTAATCCAGTGCTCAATCGGCAACCAGTGCAGTTGCTGCAAGATTGGAGTGACTTATGGGTTTATGGGTGACTTATGGGTGACTATAAAAACCCTACCAAACCTTCTTCTCCCTTCTGGTCATATTAGGGCATTTAGAGGCATGTGATTTTTTTATGAACTTCACTAACTTCTATTATTTGGACTGTTATTTTCTGCTCATGAGAGACACTGATTTATTTCCTGTCTATTTGCCATTCTGTTCTCAGTCTGCATAAAAATAAAGAGTGGCCTTCGAAATACTTGCCGCAAAGATGCGATCAGCTTTTCTGTTTCTTCCATTGGGGTTTCGCTGTGTCAGAGACCCTCTGTAATAGGAGTTCCGAGCAAAAGATTCAGCATTGTCTGATAAAATGAACGAAAGAGGCATTCATTATGACAGAATGTATTAATTGATCTTAGTTACTTCAGAAGTGCTCATCCAACTCTCTGAACCACCCTTTTGTACCAGACTCTGTTTGACAAGGTTTAATACTCTTGCAAAAGTCCAAAATAGAGCCTGCAGACCTGAAGGCTGCCCATCCTTGGAGTAAAAAAGATGCTTCTTCATATGGTTATGATCTGGTGGTTCCTGTCTGTTCAGAGACCAACAATAGACTCTAGCCCAAGGGTTCTCAAACTTCCAACAGGCATTCATGAACCTTTTATGTTGCCACAGAGTACCAAATTACAATCTTCCTGGGTTCAACATTTTGGCACTACTGATGAATTCCAGTTTTCCTTATCTCATGTTTCTCTGAGCCACTCAGTACTTCTCCCACAACAAGGGAAGGGTGACAAAAGAAATTCCCCATATGATTAGAATTCTGTCCTCTTCTCATTAGACATTGAAAAGTCCAGTCCAGCCTGGGCCTCACTCCTTTGTGTGCTTTTAAAGCATTGGATGGTTTGTTCCTTGGCCAAGTAGAGAAGGGATCTTGAAAAACCTAAATCCAAAATGAGCCCTTCATCAGTTGTATCAACTGAAAGGGGTCCAAGCTATGGAAGGATGACTGTTTCCCCCTATTTTCCACTATCAGTTGCAATACAAATAGTTTATAAATGCTAATTAATCATACTTTGCACAAATATTGCATTATTAAGTGTTCAACTTTCTTAATGTAAAGGGATTTGGTTCATCTGATGATATAGATTTAAGTCTACGAAAGCTTTTGTTTCTGGTTCGTTTCAAAGGTGGTACATACTTATATTCCACATGAACACAAGATTTAAAAAAATGTGAGGAAATATTGTTTAGTACATTTCTTCATATGGTTATGATCTGGTGGTTCCTGTCTGTTCAGAGACCAACAATAGACTCTAACCCAAGGGTTCTCAAACTTTTTCAGCTGTGGAGTTCTTTTTGAAGCAAAAGGTTTTCATGGAGCCCAAAAAATGTTTATATATTGTATTATATATAATGTATATTTATTAGGAATGGGCTGGGTCAGTGGCAGAGAGATAAAGAACAATTTTAACCAACATAGACTTAATAGTATTTCTGTGGAAGACCCCCGGGGCCATCCAGTTCAAACCCCATCTACAGGAAAAACACAATCAAACAGCCCCAACAGATGGCCTTCCAGCCACTGTAGTAGTAGTAGTAGTAGTAGTAGTAGTAGTAGTAATAATAATAATAATAATAATAATAGCAGAAACCTCAAAGGAGGTGGGGTGCCTGAGGGGCCCCTAAATACCTCTCACAGAGCCCCAAGGGTTTCCTGGAGCACAGTTTGATAACTGCTGCTCTAACCCAACTCTTGCTGTGCTACACTGTATGAGTAAGAAGGAAGCGTTCTCCAAAATACAATACTTTCTCTAATACGCCTTACTTGAAATTTCAAGTGAAGAGGTGAATTTTCTTCTCAACACATGTGGCATAGACATTACCTAAAAGGAGAAAAATCTTAGTGGTATATGTATATATCAATATACAAAAAGATTAACCCCATCATTCCTTCAGCCTGATTTATTTGATGTACATACTGGTCACAGCTTTGAACTTGCAGTCATGAATCTGCCTCTCCATCTCACCAAATATTTACTTATGTAAGAATAAACATCACTGAAATATGAACATAATTAGAAATGTTTAAAAGATTCATTATTCTCCCCACTTCTCTTTATTGTTTATTCCCAATTTTTTTCAAAATGTTACAAGACTAAGAAAAGTACTACTAGCATGCTGGGGCTGAGTCCAGTTTTGAGCATTAGTAACAAATAAGGAAACAGCAGGTTGTAGACATAAGAATGGTTTAACAATTCTTTAATACAGTTTGTTCTGTGGAACTTTTTCATACTGTTTTTCACTGCCTGTAGTCCACTGTTCCAGTATGTAAAGTACAGTCAGAGGACAGTACAGAAACATTTGAGCTAATTAGGCAACAGCATGCATGCTATTTCAACTTTCATTCCAATTCATGTTGTAAAGATTTTGAACCATAATTTTGCATCTGCCAAAATTATGGCAGCAGTTACCAATAGGCCTGAATCTGTGTTGACTGTGGTTAAGCTTACATACGTATGCTTGTATATAAGTCAACTGCATCTATAAGTAGAGGGAAGGTTTGGACAAGTTAGGAGTCATGAAATGGAGAGGGAAAAATGCAAGAACTGCATCATGGGGCCATATGTTGCTGGCCATTGCTGCCGTTTACCCATCCAACACTTCAAAAAAATGAAATGGAGATTCACAAAAGGGACCACATATTTACAAAAGCAAAAATGAATCAATTGTGTATATATTTTCATTCATGGTGGAAGAAAGGTTCTTGTTTGTTAAGTAGTTCCTAACTAGATTTCAGAAGAAAGAAAACATTTGTTTGGAAGACTAAACCACACAGAGAGGAATTAGTCATTTCCTTCTGAATGATCCTGGACTAAAATATGCGCACATCTTTGTACTGCATTTCAACTAGAAGCGAATAAAGAAACCAGAAATGCTTTTTCGTCTTCACAGTACTTCGGACTTAACATATCTACACATGTCTACACACTCACTTTGAAGTCATCAGATGAAGCTGTAACCGGGGAGTCTGAGCTCTGATCATCTGGAGAGTTATAAGAATTCCTGGTAGGCTGGAGTGTAAACATCTTGGGGTGGAACAAAGAAAAAAACATTTGTCTGATTGGCAGTCATGAAAACCAATAATAAGGAGATGCTCAAATGTTACAGCACATCTTCTGCTTTCCACAGCTCAAATTATATGAGGATGTTCTGTGCCTTCCAGAGAGTCCATAATTTCTAGGCTATGGACTCTCCTCTATGGAGAGTCCATAGCTACTTTCTCCATCCACAGCATGCAAGTGTGATAAAATATGCCATTAAAAATGGAAAAGGCTCAACTAAAATGATGAAATGAACTATTTTGGTTTAGATAATACAATCATTATACCATATGATGTAGGGGAAGGGATGAGTCTCCTCTTTTGGAGGCTTTTAAACAGCTTAGATGGCCAACTTTCATAGTGCTTGTCTGGGTATTCCTGCATGGCAGAAAGAGGTTGGAATGGATGGCCCTTGTAGTTTCTTCCAATTCCATAATTCTTTTGAAAGAGTGTTCTAGAATATCCTCTCTCCACTGCATGTACAAGTCTATGCTACTCTTTGAATAGGTCAGTCATAGAGTGAACTCATGGGAATCCTGATCCTTGAATAATATTTTAAATGCTTTAAGAGCAATTGATCAGAAGTATCAATATTATGGTTTTAACTTCTGTTTCCCAATCCTGGACCTCAAAATCTGGTGAAATCACTCTCAGAGGTAGTATGGTGTGTATTAAAATTAAAGTAGATGTATTACGACCAGAATCCTTTTTGAGATTTGCACACAATAAGCACCATAACTAATGGTGCAAGGCAATCTATTCCAGCTCAAACACCACCCTTCCCTGCTTATCACTGAAGTAGTCATTGTAATGGGTGGAGGCCAGTTCTTGTCACTCAGGAAAGAACTGACTGCTGTTTTCACGCCGTCCTATGAGTGGTCTCCAATGCAACAAGCAGAAAGACCCTTGTTAGTTGTCCTCATAACTGAGATTAATGATGAGTGGGACTATTAGCCAGCTGCTTCCTGGGCAATGGGAACAGATTTCCTCTTCATTGCAGCATTTGCTCCCCAATAAAATGGAAACTGGATGATGATGATTAGTTTGTTATGTTTGTTTATATATCGCCTTTTCTCTCCATAAGGAGACTCAAGGGTCCTTATATAGCCAGTAAAATATGGGGCTATGTAGGGACTACAACTAGTTACAAGTGTGTAGCTCCAAATTATGCATTCATAGCATTCATACAGGGTTCTACCAAAAAGCTTTTAAAAAGTGGAGTGCACCTTACTGAAAACCAGTTTGGTGCATGTGAAAGCCTTGACTCTCAATCAGTTGCCCGTGTATAATCTAAAACAATGCATTCTTTCTATCTGAGTCTCTATTTTCCTCCCACCTTCCTTCCCTCCCTGCTTCCCTTTAATTTCCACAGCATGTTTTCTAGATTTTTCTTTCTGTTACTGCATTAAAGTATCACCAAAAGCATTAAATGGTCAGAAATTAGTCTTAACAAACTTAGTTGGAATTTACACCAATTCAAAGTGATTTCCTGCCTAGTAAGTATGTTTTTAACTCCAAACATAGAAAGTACCAATGAATAAAATGCCCAGAAGGAGTTCTACACTGACTGATAATGAGGGGCCGTCTAGCATTCTGAATCCAGATTAACCCTGCATGATTATCCAATTGAGATTCCCAGAACTACATCAGAGATGGCAGGGAATTCCAACTGCCTAGCTGTCCCAAAGGATGATGTGACTGGACAGCCATCCTATGGGACTGTTTGTGCAGGGTAGGAAAAAGCCGCCCCCTCTTCCCCCCATTCCATTCAGTGAGTGGATGCTCTAGCTGACACAAGACACAGTGTCAACAGAGGACTGTCATCTTGCATTTCTGGACAACCTGAGCCTGAGGAAGCAGGATGAAGTCAACACAACTCCTGCCAGTTCCACACAGAAACCACCCTAGTTCTCTTGATGGAAGAACCTAAATCCTGGTGCAGGAGTCAAATTTCTCCATGAATTGGCATAACCAAGGATATGGCCATGTTAAGACAGACTTTATTAACTTTATTTATACCCCGCTAACATCTCCCGGTGTGGCTTACAAAAGGCCACGGCCCTCAATAAAACACAGCATAATAAATACAACAATAAAACTCATAAAGCAAAACAAAAAATTAAAGCAATAACAATAAACATTAAAAAAATAACACCACGACACATTTAAAACTAAAACTTTAAAACTTGTCCTGGTGTTAAGCTGGATCGGCCGTTTAGGCTACACAGGGCTGATCTGGATACATACTGATCTAGGTGGTCAGTGTGAATGTGCCCCCAGCTTCCTCAGCTGAAGTCTATGCATGTTATTCTACCAACTTCATTCTCTCAGTCACTAAGGTGCAACAGGATGACTGCTAACTAGGCATGGGAAGCTTCTACTCACTACCATTCCTAGTTTTCACGTATAACCATGATGATTACTTGAAAAATCCCTGTTCACTCACCTGGCTGCTTGATTTCTTCTTGGACTTTTCTACTGGTTTAACAGTCAGACCAGCAGCACTAAGAGCTGCTATTCGGGTTTCTATATCAGACACCTTGAAAACAAAAAAATCATGTCATTCTTTGATAAAGGAAATTCAACTCTTTGCTAGCATAAAGGCAGTTTTTTTTTTTTTGCATTCTTTAGCCATTGCAATATAAATAGCATTCTGTAATGGGCGAGTGGGGTAAAGATGCTAGGCTTTGCCTATTGACCCTAGTCTCTAGACATTATGACCCCCCCCCCCCCCCTTAAATGCACTAAATCCAAAAGTTACATGGTTGTATGCTGGAAGCTGGAAGACGACGATGAACATAGAATCATAGAATCATAGAATCTAAGAGTTGGAAGAGACCTCATGGACCATCCAGTCCAACCCCCTGCCAAGAAGCAGGAACATCGCATTCATATAACCCCCAACAGATGGCCATCCAGCCTCTGTTTAAAAGCTTCCAAAGAAGGAGCCTCCACCACACTCTGGGGCAGAGAGTTCCACTGCTGAATAGCTCTCACAGTCAGGAAGTTCTTCCTCATGTTCAGATGGAATCTCCTCTCTTGTAGTTTGAAGCCATTGTTCCGCGTCCTAGTCTCCAGGGAAGCAGAAAACAAGCTTGCTCCCTCCTCCCTGTGGCTTCCTCTCACATATTTATACATGGCTATTATATCCCCTCTCAGCCTTCTCTTCTTCAGGCTAAACACGCCCAGCTCCTTAAGCCATTCCTCATAGGGCTTGTTCTCCAGACCTTTTATCATTTTAGTCGCTCTCCTCTGGACACATTCCAGCTTGTAGGCACTTTCTTATTCTCCCCTCTTCCCTCCCCAGTCTTGGAAGCAATGAGACATTGTTTTCATTTTTGAGTCTCCACATTTCTAGTAAAAAATAATTTTGTCTGAAGAAAATAAAGATTACCTCACTCTCAGTGTGTTGCACTTCAGCCATCGCAGAAGCCACTTTGTCTTCCAGTTCAGACAACTCTGAATCAGTGGTTGCACTGTGGTGGGTATGGTCCTCCAGTGCTCTCAACTTCTTCTCTAGCCCATATGTCTTCCCAGGAAGAAAATATACCTAAAAGGAATAGTGCAAGTCACCTTCCAGCTCATGGGATTCCATAGCACCCTCTCAAAGCTTGTCTGTTTCTTCCAAGTGTGAGTAGAATAAACAAGATTTCCAGTGATAAGGTATCATTGTTTTTAGAGTACACCTTCTGGTTGAAAACTTCTGGTTGAAACTTTCTAAGTAACAGCTGGATACTACTAAACATAGCCAGAGGTAATTTGAAGCAGTTCCCAAAACTTGGGAATCAGCTGTGCAAGCAACTGGAAGAAGTATGGCAAAAAATGAGAACCTTGACAATTAAAAAGACACCTCTTGGAGTTTTTAGATAACTTAAAAGTAAAAATTTCAAAAATATTGGAAAAATATTGGAAAACCATGATTTTGAGTGTTGAGAAATCCTATTGTGGCGCAGCTGGCTGAGTGTCAGCTGCATTAAGATCACTCTGACCAAAAGGTCATGAGTTCGAAGCCAGCCCGGGCTGGAGTGGGTGTCCAGCCATTGTGTAGCCCGTTGTCGACCTTTGCAACCCGAAAGACAGTTGCATCTGTCAAGTAGGAAAATAAGGAACCACCTTGTGTGGGAGGCTAAATTTAACTAATTTATGAGGCCATAAAGAAAAAAGACTCCGGGGAATGTGAAATGCGGAAGAACTTCATCGGTGTCGTTGATGGACGATGAAAAGCAGCAGCTCCCCTGGCAGCCAGAAAAAAAAAAGTTAAATAGCCTCGGTGTATTTGTGTGTTAAATGTTGTTTGTCAAACTGGCATTGAATGTTTGCCATATATGTGTTGACTGTAATCCGCCCTGAGTCCCCTGCGGGGTGAGAAGGGCGGAATATAAGAACTGTAAATAAATAAAATAAAATAAATAAATTGAGAAGAATCTTGGACTGATGTGAACCTTTGCAGTTTAGGACTTATATGCAAAAAAATCATATGAGGTTGTTTTACAAGAAAATAATAATTTCTGAACAGGAATTAACATTCCTGCATTGAAATATTTTCAATCCAATTTTTTTCTGCACAAAACAATCACATGCAAATATTGTGCCCCTGCTGAGCCCTGATTATCAATTGTCTTCAAAAACTATGTGTTTTTGAGGATTTTCTCACATAAGGAAGAAAATGGCTGAAATTAGTGAAGATCTGTGCAGACCACAATGACCAAATTAAACCAGTCATTTCAAACCACAGTCCATCATGTACTACAATGACTTTATTTGTTGATTAGACATCTTATAGACTTCTTTGTGAAAGGTTTTCCCAATATCTTTTTTTCACTGTGAAAGGTGTTTCATTAATACAGGCACCAGTCCCCGTCCCCCCGCAAAAAAAACCCCAGTTGATTAATTAAGTTCCAAATTAAGTTCCTGAAAAACAAGTTAACAACTCTAGATTAGAGAGATGTGTTTCCACAGTAGCAACAAAAGAAGAAATAATCTGTAGTCTTGCTTTGGGACCTGCATAGCATGGTGAAGACACAGGGTTCTTGGCCAAACTCCTTTGTTTTAAATATATTTTATTGAGGGTTTTTTATATTTATGAGTTAAAAAAAATCAGGGGGAAGAGAGATATTTTAAAAAAGGAAAAGAGGTAGGATATGGGAAGGGATAGGATAGGGTTAACGGGGGTGTAGGGAGGGGGAGAGAGGAGAGGTTTCAGAAGGTACAAATCAAAGGATGAACAATGAAGAAGGGGGGAAGGGTGAAAGGGGGGAGGAATTCAAGTTGTACTTCCATTCTTCTTTATAATTGGTTTTAGCTCTTTAGTACTGTCCTTGTGTTTCTTCATTTACTTTCTTTCCTTTCCTGCAGTGGTGGTTCTTTTATTGTGTACTCCCCCCTTTAAATCAATAACTTCATTTTATTATCTTTCATCCAGACCTTCAGCGGTATCCAGGTTGTTGTCTTCATATGTTTAGTTTGTATCTTAGTAATAAAAAATGTCAACGTATACATATTCATGATGTTTAGAATTTTCTTTATCCATTCCTCTTTCTGGGGTCTTAATTTTTGTCTCTAAGTCCTTGCAAATACGATTATCGCCGCAGTTGTTATGTATGTAAATAATTTGTCTTCATTGGTGTTCCATTGTAAATTGGTCATTCCTAAAAGAATGAGTTCTGGTTGTAGTGGGAGTTTGCTTTTTAAGATTTTTTGACACATCTCATGTATTTCTTTCCAAACTGCACCAGGATGGAGAGTGGGTCATGGGGGCTCTGTGTGTCAAGTTTGGTCTTGATCGGTCATTAGATGAGGGTTGCAGCAGTCTTGGGAAGTGAATGGAGGTGCTTGAAGTCCCATCATCCACGCTGTGCCCTCCTCCAAACTGCACCAGGATGTAGAGTGGGTCATGGGGACTATGCATACCAAGTTTGGTCTTGATCAGTCATTGGATGAGAGTCATAGCGGTCTCGGGAAATGAGTGGAGGTACTCCAAGTCCCATAATTCATGGTCCATCCTCCTCCAAACTGCAGTAGGATGTAGAATGGGTCATGAGTGCTCTGTGTGCCAAGTTTGGTGTTTATTGGTCATTGTTGGGGGCCGCAGTGGTCTCTGGGAACCAAAGTGTTGGAAAGTACTACAAATCCCATCATCTATTGTCTGCTGTCCCCCAAACCTCACCAGGATGTAAAAGGGGTCATGAGGGTTATGTGTGCCAAGTTTGGTCTTGTTCAGTCATTGGATGAGGGTCGCAGCGATCTTGGAAAGCAAGTGGAGGTACTTTAAGTCCCATCATCCATGTTCTGCCCTCCTCCAAACTGCACCAGGATGTAGAATGGGTCATGGGGACTCTGTGTGCCAAGTTTGGTCTTGTTCAGTCATTGGATGAGTTCTCAACTTGTGGGTCCCCAGGTGTTTTGGCCTACAACTCCCAGAAATCTCAGCCAGTTTATCAGCTATTAGGATTTCTGGGAGTTGAAGGCCAAAATATCTGGGGACCCACAAGTTGAGAACCACTGCTCTAAACAGTAATTCAGTATAAATTTTAAAAAAACATTATATATTTTCCATGTTACTCCTTAAAAGGAATGAAATCCTCGCATTGGATATTTCTGTTTCAGGGAAACACCAAGCATGTGACATGATAATGAACTGCACCAGGATCAACAGCACCACATTACAAGGATTTTAATCATTCACATATATTATCTTCCAACAGCCGCGTGAAGTATTGCTTCCATGTCATGAAGGGTGCAGTGGTTGTCAAGAGTTCCATAAGATCACCTAACAAGTTAGTGACTGAAGTAATATTAGAACTCCAAACTTTCTATCTTAGACTCTGCAGAATGTTACACTACGTTATTCTCTCCTCCCTTTCTCTCTTGCTTAGTTCTACCCAAATTTAAGACTGTCACTAAAAATGAATTGGGTAGCTATAATTCTTGAACCAGTTAGATGCAATATCTGCTTTCATTCATGGAAGATCAAGGCAGCTTGCAGTGGGAGGGGGAGCTAAATGGACACCTTTATTTTGTTGATAGATGAAAGATGTGCTTCCAAGACATATGTTGCTTTCTACTACTTCACAGGTTCTGGACAACTTCTTCCTGTTTTTCCAAGTGCCAAGAGGACTAAATCATCATCTTAATGCCATTTTCAATGGGTCGTGTAGGTGTCTCTACTGGTGTTAATGGCTCTTCAAGGGCTTAGCCAGTGATGCCACAATGAGCATTAGTTAGCAACCTCAGTTAGCAACCAGAGACATTTTAATCTGTGTGCAGTGTATTGAAATTGGGGAGAGGGGGAGGGAGAGGGGGGAGGGAGAGGGAGAGGGAGAGCATGCAAGGAAGGAGTAGGGATGTGGAAATCATAATTAAGGAACCTTCATTGTCCACAGAAGACTTTTAGCCTCAAAGAGTACAAACTGACAAAGCAGAGCTTTGATCCTGGATAATGCTTCACAGAATATACATGTGATACAAAGGCACTATCTCAAAATCCAAGTGAAGAGCTCTCATACAGTGTCTTCTGCACAGCCACATGAGAACCTTTCATGTTAATGGGACCACTTTAATTTGGGTCAGTTCTCCAATCCATTCACAAAAACGCCACAGTGGGTGCAAGGAAACAAGGCAGGCATAGAGAGAACAGAGCTTGAGGAAAGTGGGGTTTATTGTCGTGTGTATTCATACATTTCAAATACATATTCAATATGTCATCATAATGTTTAAATGTTGAATTTCTATATGCATTTCTGTGTTAATAACGTCATATTTTGATCTCAAGGTAAGGATCGCATCAGGCCCAATCCATTATTTAAAAAATAACTGCTATGTATTAAAACACCAAAGTGGAAGGTAAAAGGAAGAGGAGCCGACCAAGGGCAAGATGGATGGATGTCATCCTTGAAGTGACTGGACTGACCTTGAAGGAGCTGGGGGTGGTGACGGCCGACAGGAAGCTCTGGCGTGGGCTGGTCCGTGAGGTCACGAAGAGTCGGAGACGACTGAACGAATGAACAACAACAAAACCATTTCTTGCACATAAATCCCAAAACTCCACCTGTTCCAGTGGTTGGAAATGAATTGCCTTACAGACAGACAAAAACGTTATGGGCACCTACCCTATCAACAGTAGTCTTTGGTAACACTGGAAGTATATGAGTCAAATAAGTGGTCCATCATAGCACTGTCTGGACTTACTGGCAGTGGTTCACTAAAGTTTAATGTTCCTTCAGCAACAACAAGAATATCCCTGTGGGTAGAAAAATCAGGCAATTCCAGCTGGATGGCCCCTACGAGGGTCTTCCCCCAGAGGCAAACCAAGAATGGGCAACTTGGAGCAGACTCAGAAGTGGAGTTGGCAGATCAAAAGATAACCTGGGAAAATGGTGCTACCTAGAAGAATCCTCCACGTTGTGCGATTGTGGATCAGAACAAACAACGCAGCATCTTTATGCTTGCCCACAATGCCCTGCCTCATGCACCGAGGAAGAACTGTTTAAAGCTACAGACAATGCGGTTGCTGTTACCCATTTTTGGTCTAAAATTATTTAGCTGCTTGTGCTCCCTTTATTTTAACCGTTTTATACTTATTTATTTATGCAATGTTTTTGACACGAAATAATAACACCTAAGGTTTCATACAAAGGTCGGTCTCAGTTCTGCCTTGAGATGGCAAGGACTGAATGTAGGGCGTTTTATAGGGAAAGCTTACACTTTTCCCAGGAAGGAAATTGGAGCAGCATACAGACTTTTGGAACCAGGTCGAAATTCTTCTACAATTCTTAATATGTTTTTGCCTTTTCTGAGCTCTTTGTAGATCTTGGCACATATTAAATAGGAATCCTAGGACATAATAAGTCAGTTGTTATGGGCAGTTTATTTCTCAACATTCTGCCCATCAATATTTGTGCAGGTGAGTACGATAATGCTGTCACAGGTGTATTCCAACAGTTGACCAAACAGGCACATTTTTAGCCTGCAGAAGCGAAGGCTGAGATTAGACATGATAGTCATGTATAAATATGTGATGAGAAGTCATAGGGAGGAGGGAGCAACTTGTTTTCTGCTGCCCTGGAGACTAGGACGCAGAACAATAGCTTCAAACTTCAGGAAAGGAGATTCCACCTTAACATTAGGAAGAATTTCCTAACTCTAAGAGCTGTTCAGCAGTGGAACTCTCTGCCCTGGAGTGTGGTGGAGGCTCCTTCTTTGGAGGCTTTTAAGCAGAAGCTGGATGGCCATCTGTCAGGGGTGCTTTGAATTGAATTTTCCTGCTTCTTGGCAGAGGGTTGGACAGGATGGCCCATGAGATCTCTTCCAACTCTCTGATTCTATATGATTCTATGATTCTCCAGAATTAAACTTTGTCATGGAACTATGTATTCTTTTTCATGCCATATGAATTGTTTGCACTACAGATTTTGCATGTGGGGAGAGAACAACATTGCTAACTTTATGTTCAATTCCTTTCCTAATGTTAGAATTCTGTTTTTAACTACTATGAGCCATCATGCATCCAGTTTCTGGGGAAAAGGTGGCATATTGTATGAATGAATGAATCCCATGAATGCTCCTTTTTTATAGAATCTACACACCACATTGATATTAACTACAATCACAAGATCTTACAGAATAATAGTGGAAGAGACCACATGGGCCATCTAGTCCAACCCACTGCCATGTAGGAAAGCACAAAGTATTCCTGACAGATGGCCATCTAGCCTCTGTTTAAAAGTTTCCAAGGAAGGAGCTTCCACCACACTCCGAGGCAGAGAGTTCCACCATTGAACAGCTCGTCAGGAAGTTCTTCCTAATGTTCAGGTGGAATCTCCTTTCCTGTAATTTGAACCCACTGCTCTGAGTCCTAGTTTCAAGGGCAGCAGAAAACAAGCCTGCTTCCTCTTTCTTATGACACCCTTTCACAAATTTATACATGGCTATCATGTCTCCACTCAGCCTTCTCTTCTGCATGGTAATGGTGGCCGGGTAAGTGATTATCTTTTTAAAAGGTTTTTCTGGGGGATTGTTTTGTGTCCAGGTGCCCTGCCAGAAAGTCCAGCAGGGAATCTGGACAACCACCCCCTCTCCCAGGAAAGTGCAGGGTTTTTTCCCCGGTGTCAGGACAGATGTCCAGCCTTACTCTAGTTGTTTAAACCTGGGCCAGACTGGACTTTTCCCTTGTCTGGAACCACCCTGATTCATTTTGGTCCTGGGATTTGTATGTGTGCATGCATTGTGGTGGGAAACATTTCTGAAATATTTAGGTTTTCAATGATCTTTTACCTCAATTCCCACAAATGTGGACAAACAAAGAAAAAAACCTTCATGAGGCCAATGCATCTATTATCCTTTAAATGAAGATAAAAGTAACTTTTCACAGACTGAGACAGGCAACCTAGTTCAAGATCTGCTCTTGAACACTAAAACTGTTCATCCAAAGAGGCTTCATGATGTTCAGTCAGAAGAATAAAATGGGAAAAGGTTGACAAAGAAGCCATTAGAAACCCAAAGGAACGCAAACCTCTATTTCATATTCAGAGAAACTAAAAGGTGCTCACAGTAAACAAGGCACAAGCTCTTCTGTTCTTTTATATTTGAATATTTTATGAAAGAGATCAGCCAAAACTATCAACAAAGGTCCACTGATTCTTGGAAGCAGACGCGGAAATGCCTCATTAATCAATGCTCAAGGAGTGTGTTGTTTATAATGGAAAGTTACATTTGTTTTGCAAAGGGTTTTCAGATGAAGAAAATGATGTTCCCATTTAGGCTAATGGATTTGGCAAGGCTGAAAATATAGCACCCCCTTCACTGACTATCCAGTCTTTTTTAGAAGCCATGCTGGGCAAGAATGAATAATCTATCATTTTTTCTTACTTTTGAGAAAGTTGATAACACAGACCTGCACAAACACACACATAGTTTGATACATTGAGTGCAATTACTGTCTAATAAGTACGTTTATAATTAGACCCTCATCTCTTTTACTGACATAGGACATTTCAAAACCCTTGTTTGAGAGAATTCTGATAAGATACTGATAGATGGGTTTCTTTCAGATCTCACCTGTTTTCTCTATATTAATATTAATGGATTGCTTGGAAAATAGTTTTGCTACATACATTGCAACTATGACTGATTCTGCTCCTTGAAATTTAAGAACAAGGAGGCCTGGATCCAATAAAGTCCTAAGTGCTAGAGCTTGTGTGATCAATACTTTTTCTTCATTCTGTTTCTACAATGAAAAGGTTCCCCTTTCTATGCTGCTTTTTTTTTTTACTTTACATGTGTTTGAGGCAAAAGGCTTGCATGAGACAATTTTTTTTCAAGGAAAACCCCAGTATTTTCAAAATTAAATAGACACATCCCAGTCCCATGGAACTTCTTTCTCCTCCTTGGCACAAAGTTGCTGTCATCCCAAAGCTACCTAGCATCTTCACTACCTACCTCTTCACATATGAGTGGATTCTCATGGCCATATTATTTACAATCTTCTTATTTCATTGTACACAAACAACTGTATGGACAATTTCACCAATGAAAGAAGAGATAGGCAGCCAGGAGAAAACTACCTCAGGCACTTGCTCCAGGCTACACACTCTCCTTTTTCGGAAGAACCAACATTCCTCATAACTGCTTGGTGGGAAGGATCCATGACAGCAAGTCAAGAGAGGACCTCTTCTGAGCATGTTCCGGCTGAACTGTTCCTCACTCATTTGGCCTTCCATCAAAAATTGTTCTTGAGTTTTCATTCTCCATAGTGGCTTTTATTAATGTTTGTTTCTCTTAACTGGAAGAGACTCTTAACTCTTATCCCCAAACGGTAATAAACAAGAACCAACATACAAATATAATTGCCTTCAAGGGATCACATTAAGGGTATGTGAATGCACTCCAAAGAAAACAATAACAATGGTAACTGAGTTAATATGGGCATACGGCACTACAGATTATGAAAGCTTGAACAGACTTTCTGTAATGTAAACAAAATGCAAGAAAACCAGTACCTTCTTAGTATCAGTAGGCTGGTCATCACTGGATGAACTCATAACCTGTTTGGGTTCTTCAATCTTCTTTCCTTCTTCTTCCTCATCAGAAGAAATACCTTTGTCACTAATATTTCTTGCCAGTTGTTCTAGTTTTCTCTTCAGCTCTTTCTCTTCTATAGTAGGATCAGTGTGAGATGCAGAACCCTCAGGCTAGCAGAATAAAAGCAAGAATCAGGTACTCATATGATCAAATTTGTTTCATTCAACCATCTGAATATTTCATATGTATCTCTTCATTGTTCCTCTAACTGGTCCTCATGCTAATTCAAAACTATGAAATAACTAACTAGCAAACTCCAAAATTGTTTAGAGTTAACAATCCACCAACCTGGATTTCAACAATTTTCTTTCTGAATCCCAGCAATTCATTCCAGTGGAAAACAGACAAAACCAAAATAAGTGTATAATCATGAATATCTTTTAAAAGCTAACTCTGAGTGTTACAAGGCAAAGAATGGAAGTAATGGGGTCATTCTTATCCCTGTGCACATAGGCAGAGAACAGGTTGAAACAGGATGATGACACATGATCAGGTTGGTGCAGGTCACGAAGCAACCCCCGGGATCTGCTCACATCTTACATAGGCCATGGGCATACAGGTTGTGTTCTTCTCAGTAAAGGTCTCGCTCCTATCACAATCTCCTTCAAGCATGTAAGAACATTTCCCGTAATGAAACATTCACCTCTCCCAATGCCAGTTCCCCTCTGGTTGCTGATTACCTTGGATGGATGAGGTTCAGGTATATATGCAACCAGTTTTCCCTCTCTAAGAATATTCGAAACCTGGTGGGATGGCTCCTATCACTGGAATGTAGACATCAAGAGCTATAACCTCTTACAGAAACAGAACAAATGGGAGAGGAGGGGGAATAGCCTTATATGTGAAAAACAGTTACATCACAGAAAAGATGCAAGACTGCAATCTGGGAAATCAGCTTGTAGGCATCTGGATAAGAATCAAGGGAACTGGAACTCAAAAAGATCTCGTGGGTGTCTATTACAGACCTCTGAGCCAGAGCGAAAAACTTGATGAAGCTTTCTTTCAACAGTTGACCAAACAGGCACAAAGAGATATAGTAGTCATGGGTGATTTAAACTATCCTGATATTTGCTGGAAAACAAACTCGGCCAAGAGTACAAAGTCCAACAAATTCCTCACTTGCCTTGCAGACAATTTTATGGTCCAGAAGGTAGAAGAGGCAACAAGGGGATCGGCTACTCTCGATCTCACCCTAACAAATGCGGAGGACCTGATAGATGTAGCTGAAGCGGTTGGATCCTTAGGGGCAAGTGACCATGTGCTCCTGCAATTTAGGATAAGAAGGAAGGCTGAAACGAAGACAAGTGAAATGTGCATTCTGGACTTTAGGAGAGCTGACTTCCAAAAAATGAAGGAAATACTGAGCGGCATTCTGTGGATGCCGATACTAAAAGATAAGGGAGTTATGGATGGATGGGAGTTTTTCATGAGTGAAATACTCAAGGCGCAATTGCAAACAATGCCAACAAACAGAAAAAAAATAGGACAAGTGCAAAGAAGCAAGAATGGATGTCCAAAGAACTTCTAGCTGGGCTAAGACTCAAAAGAGACATGCACAAGAAGTGGAAAAAGGGAGAAATCATCAAAGAAGAATTCAAACAGATAGCCAACTCCTGTAGGGAAAAGGTTCACAAGACTAAAGCACAAAATGAGCTCAGGCTTGCCAGGGACATTAAAAACAATAAAAAGAGCTTATTTGCTTATGTCAGTAGAAAAAGGAAGAACGAGGAGGCGAAAGGGACTCTTCAAGGAGAAAATGGGGCAATGCTGACAGGGGATAGGGAAAAGGCAGAACTACTTAATGCCTTCTTTGCCTCAGTCTTCTCACAAAAAGAAAGTCATCCTCAACCTCAGCAAGATGGAGTAGATGAGGGATTAGAGGACATCCAATCCCAAATTGGGAAATAAGTCGTCCAGGAATACCTGACCACTCTAAATGAGTTCAAGTCTCCAGGGCCTGATTAACCCAAGAGTATTGAAGGAACTAGCAGAAGTCATTTCAGAACCACTGCAATAATCTTTGAGAGTTCTTGGAGAACGGGGGAAGTCCCAGAAGATTGGAGGAGGGCAAATGTAGTCCCTATCTTCAAGAAAGGAAAAAAAGACGACCCAAATAATTACCGTCCCGTCAGCCTCATGTCGATACCAGGCAAGATTCTGAAAAATATGGTTAAGGAAGTGGTTTGCAAAAACAAATGCGGTCATCGCTAATAGTCAACACAGATTTATCAAAAACAAGTCATGCCAGAATAATCTGATCTCTTTTTTCGATAGAGTTACAAGATGGGTAGATGCGGGGAATGCCATGGATGTAGCGTATCTGGATTTCAGTAAGGCCTTCGACAAGGTCCCCCATGACCTTCTGGCAAATAAACTAGTCAAAGGGTGATCACCAGTGCTTCCTCTTCATCCTGGAAAGAAGTGACAAGTGGAGTGCCATAAGCAGGGTTCCGTCCTGGACCAGGTCCTGTTCAACATCTTTATTAATGACTTAGATGAAGGATTAGAAGGCATGATCATCAAGTTTGCAGATTATACCAAATTGGGAGGGATAGTCAATACTCTAGAAGACAGGAGCAGAATTCAAAATGATCTGAACAGATTAGAGAGATGGACCAAAACGATCTGCCTTGGTTAGACCATATCTGGAATACTGTGTCCAATTTGGGGCACCACAATTGAAGAGAGATGTTGACAAGCAGGAATGTGTCCAGAGGAGGGCGACTAAAATGATCAAGGGCCTGGAGAACAAGCCCTATGAGGGGTGGCTTAAAGAGCTGGGCATGTTTAGCCCGAAGAAGAGAAGGCTGAGAGGAGACATGATAGCCATTTATAAATATGTGAGAGATAGTCATAGGGAGGAGGGAGCAAGCTTGTTTTCTGCTGCCCTGGAGACTAGGACGCGGAACAATGGCTTCAAACTACAAGAAAGGAGATTCCATCTGAACATGAGGAAGAACTTCCTGAGAACTGTTCAGCAGTGGAGTGTGATGGAGGCTCCTTCTTTGGAGGCTTTTAAACAGAGTGCGATTGAATGCTATTTTGCTGCTTCTTAGCAGGTGGTTAGACTGGATGGCCCACGAGGTCTCTTCCAACTCTATGATTCTACAGTTCTAAGGTTTTTTGTTACAGCAGAATGCCCTCATGAGCAATCCCAAAATATATAGATGTACCCAGGGCCGTAGCCAGAAAAAAATTTCGGAGAGGGTTGAAAATTTCAGGGGGGGGGGAGTTTTGAACATTTCGGGGAGGGGGGTTGAAAATTTCAGGGAGGGGGGTTGAAACCTGCCTCTTAGCTCACGCTGAAACAAAGAGGACAGCAGGGGCAGAGCAGCCTTCAATAGCCTGCAGCTTCGCCCCTGTCAACCACCCCCACCAAGTCTGGTCTCCTTCATGAGGGCCTTCAAATCTACCCCCCCCCCCAACTTGGTTGCTTCACTACATCGGCTATTGCTGCAGGTAATGACAGTGTGAATAAATTGTCGATATTTGCTTGAGATAGTGCTTGCAGTTCTGGAAGGATTCTTAATTTTTTGTGTCTCATAGACTTAGCATGGAGATTTGGTTAACCAGTTAAAATTCATGAGTAAACCAGGTTTATTTTATTTTAACCTGAAAAATTTGGGGGGGGACGGGACGAACCCCTAACCCCCCCCCCTCGCTACAGGCCTGGATGTACCAGTCTCTCCAGGGAGACTATCCAACAGCCCTTTCTTTCCCACAAAGGATGGCCCTGTGTCAAGTAGTGTTGAAGAATGCACACAACCCTGCAGTCAAAAGCGCCGTACAAAGAAATATCTGGATAGTTTTTAGTAGATGAAATGCAAAAACTAGATAATATTACACACACACACAAAGAATGTAAAACAATTTAAAGAGCCATTGCAGATATAATTCTTACTAAACCAATTAAATGTTCAAAATTCATTATTCCAAATATACAAGAGAATGAATTCAAAGGCACCAGTTAGCAATAATTATATTCTGTAATTAGAAGTATTTTTCCCCTAAGGAATACCCCTAACATTCTAGAATCATCACTATACATATCATTTCATCATCATTTAATTACTTATTAATCGCCCTCCATCCAAGATGCTCTAGACAATTTACAAGCTAAAATTGTAAATGATAAAAATACATACATACAGATATTGATAAAATTAACATAGATCAAAAGCTGTAGTAAAAAGCCAAGTCTTAAGTGCTAGAGTAAAAGGCCCTAAGTCACGCATGGCTCTCACGTAGGGCGGCAAGAAATTCCACAAGGCAGGGGCAGAAATAGAAAAAGCCCTGCGTCTGGTCCTTTCCAAGTGCACTTCTCTAGGATCCGGTATATAAAGTAAGTCACGTTGGGATGGTCGTTACAACCTCCGATGATGGGAGAATGAGAGACGGCCCCTAAGGTACAATGGACCCTGGCCGTAAAGAATTTTAAAGGTCAGAACTAACATAGATCCTAAAAGCCTGCTCAGGGAGCAACCGAAACACACTGATATTTTCCATTCCTTTACCATTATCTGGATCAGGACTTCTTAAACCTTTTCTACTTATGACCCCTTTCCACCCCAAAAAAGTTTGATGTGACCCTAGGCTTAAAGGTATATAAAATAGGCACAAAAATCAAACATTTGCTGCAAGGGTTGCTAAACCGGCTGATTTTTCTTTTTGTAAGCATTTTCTGCAAGGCCTACTGTAAACACTGCACATTTTAAATAGTGACGCTCAGAAATCTTTTGCAGTTACAATTTTTTTTTCATGACCTCAACATGATCTAAAAGGACTCTATTTGATGATGGGATCCATAGTTTAAGAAGAAATTATCTAGATCCCCTCAAAAGCTTAGCAGAAAGAAAAGTTATTAAATTCAGAGAGAATGGACTTGAGAACCGGCTGGCATCACTATTTGTGGTACAATGATCCAAAGAAGGAAAACAATTCGGAAATCATTTTGTTAGATCGGCTATTTTAAGAATCTGGCAAAAATACAAATCTAAAATATGTGAGAAAACCCCATTATGGCTATCCCCATTAGAGACCACACAAAGGAGGGAAATGGGATGGAATAATTGGCCAAAATATAAAGAACTATTAAAGAAAGAAGAAGGTGTGATAGTAACAAAGACACAACAGGAAATGAACATGATAAATAAAAAAAATATCATGGTACCAATATAGGCAAATAAAGGAATGCTTTAAGAAAGATAAAGAAAAAGGCTTTCAGGAACAAGATACCTTTTATATACATACTAAACTCTGAAAGAAAGATCATAAGAAAATTATATAAGAAATTAGTGGAATGGAGCACAGAACCAGTGGGGGAAAAATATATGAAAAGATGGAATGAATATATAGAAAAAAAACAATTTGAAAAGAAGAATGGGAAAAAAATATGGAGAACAAAGATTAAATATATGCAACAGCTTTAAAAGAAAATTGGTTTAAAGTTGCACACAGATGGTATATGACCCCTCAAAAATTAGGAAAATGCTATGAGAACATAAATACAAAATGTGGAAATGTGGAAAGATTGAGGGATCATACTTCCACATGTGGTGGTCGTGTACAAAATCTAAAATATATTGGAGAAACATTACAGGAAATGTTACATATAAGAATACCATTCAAACCAGATATATTTTTTATTAGGGATAACAGACCAAAAGTTAGATAAAAATATAGACAAGCTCCTTTTTTTACTGAATACGGCTGCAAGAATTTGCTATGCAAGAAGAAGGAAGAGACCCCAGAAATTAAAGATTGGATAGAAAAAAATTGTAGATATTAGAAACATGGACAGACTAACATATTTGATATCAAAAAATAAAGGGACCCCAATAAGAGAAACTGATTGGACAAGAGTGACAAATTACTTGAAACAAAAGAATGGAAACACAATAATATAAAAGGAAGAGAAAACAGGAAGAAAAATATAGATGGAAGAAAGAAGAGGAAAACCCACTTGGAAGATACACAGGAAGTCAATGAAGGAGATGTACACCAACTTTCTCCTGATTTTGTTTTTAACTACTTTTTTCTTTTTTTCTTCCTTTTCCCCCTTTTTTTCCTCTTTCTTCTTTTTCCTTTCTTCTTTTGTTTATTTTCTGCTATCTCTACTTCATTTAACTGTATTTTAAAAGGAAAAATTCTCAATAAAGATTACTTAAAAAAATTATTTTCTCATGTTTCCTCATCATGAGAAACTGTCGTATTGCTGTCAACATCTGGTCTCTGCAGTGTGCCATCAGGTTAATCCATGCTTTCTATAGAATAGACCAAAGGCAGACAAATGGGACAGGAAAGTCATTTGGCACAAGGACCTAAGGTCCCTTGTGTCTTTACAATGTTAGATAACCATGGCCAGCATATAGTGATGAGCTTTTGGTAATAAAATGCAGTTCCCTTTCAACATCAATAGCATATGTCTTCTTCTCTGATGGTCAAAGCATTCAAAACACACTACAGTATTTCCCTTTCTATAATAATTGGACTGCCAATCTCTGAAAAGGTCTGCATTCCTGATATTACCTCTTCTGAGTGAACCAGGATCTTTTCCTCAAGACGGTTCAGCATGCGTTCAATAGCAGACATACGTTTGTTGAGGTCAAGTATCTAAGAGAGAGGAAAGAAGACAGCATAGAAAAGCGCCTGCCACCATAGGTTTCTCAGACATTAAAGAAAACGTTCAGAAAAAGTTCCCATCACCATTACCATTGCAATAAGCAGATCCTCAATTTCAACCCAGCAAGAAAAACAGCTGCATGCTAATTTAAAATTATTAGGAAATAGCAAAACAAGTATCATAAAATTAATGAAATAGCCCAACAGATTAAAAAGAAAAAGATTAGAATGTTGTATTCTCTTTTGTATTTTTTAACATTCTCCTTACAGCACAATTGCTAGTATGCACCAGCAGGTTGTCTTTCCAACAGATTCAAATTCCAGTTTGGTGGTGAATGTTCATATTTTAGGGATATAATTCCCCATTTGGGAGATGGGAGAAGCAATGCTGCCATTCTGATACAACTACATGCCACGAATAGTAAAACACCTAATACTATAAATGAACAAATGAAAATACTGGTTTCAAATTTACCAAATTAGTCACAAGTAGTAATTTTCAACCTTTTAAAATAGTGGTCAGAAACTTAATTCTAAACCCACCACTGGGATATAGTCAGAATAAAGGGCTGATACTTCTCCCTTGGGGACTTTTCAATTATACAAGCTTTAGTTCATTTTGATTACCTATCTGGTGCCCATACTATAGAAGATCCATAAACCTGATTAGGAAATTGGTCATTTACAGTGTTTTATGGAAATGTTTACTTAGGAACAGTATGCCTAGACAGTTTACATCTATATATAGATTTCTATTCCAAAATATAAATATTATGTGTTACAATAAGAACAGAGCAACATATAATCTTGCATTAATGAGAGATTCCCATGTGATGCTCAAGATAGAGATTAAGGCGACAATGAGGTAATGGACTTGTGCCACCAGAATATGAACAATAAAGCTATATTTTGAGTATTGCTTGCATGTAAATCAGAATGCATCGCTCTCAGGATGAAGACAATAGATATCAAATCAAATTGTACATTATGAAGGCAAAATCCAATAAAATGGCAACTGGCACCAATTTGGTAAATTGTTGATGTCAATACCAATTCCAGCAGACAGCCTATCCCACCTGCTGGAGACTGTGTCAGAATGGCTAATGGAAAATATAGCCTTTCTGCTGGTGTACCGTGCATCTAGCGCACAAGCAGACAGCCTATTCCAGCTGCTTGAGACTGTGTCGGAGTGGTCCTTGAGGTTCCCCAGACTTATCGTCTTGGGGGATTTCAATGTCCACGCTGATGCAGACTCTTGTTCATTAGAGGCTGTGGACCTAGTGTCTACCATGGAGACACTAGGACTCTCGCTCTGTATTACTGGGCCCACACATCAGGCAGGACACACGCTAGATCTGATTTTCAGCACAGGAATTCAAGTGACCCAAGCCTCTACTATGGAGGATCACTGTGCTCTGAGAGTCTGGTTGGAGCATGCCTACCCACCCTGCAAGGGCGCCGAGCCAATTTGGGCTCGCCCAAGGAGACTTATGGAACCCAGTAGGTTCCGGAATGCTCTGAGGGATCTGGAGCCTGCCAGCGACTCGATTGATGTGCAGGTGGACACATGGAACATCAGGCTATCCAATGCACTCGACGAGATCGCCCCTAGACGCCCTCTCAGACCCCACGAAATCGGTCTCCTTGGTTCACCGAGGAACTTCGACTGATGAAGCGGGAAAAGAGACGGCTGGAGGGCGTGTGGCGAGAACTCCGTGACGGAGCATCAAGATCAGCTTATGAGGCATTTAGGGAGTCCTATGAGCATGCTATCACCGAGGCAAAGCGAGTATATTATGCTTCTTTGATAGCGTCTGCTAGCTCACGCCCGGCAAAATTGTTCAAAATAATTCGATCTCTAACGACGGTTCCTACCGTCCCAAAAAGTGGTGATCAGGCCCCTTCAGCCGAGGTTTTTCAGAGCTATTTTGCAGACAAGATCTCGCTACTACGCCGGGGCCTCCCCGCCACAATTGATACAGTGAGAGAACTTGAGATTCCATGGCCACTTGCTGGGCCCATCCTCGACCGCTTCATTCCGCTGGACGCAGAGGCTGTCGATAGGCTCATAGCTGCAGCTAGACCGACCAGTTGCTGCCTCGATCTGTGTCCCTCTTGGTTGGTGAAATCCTGCCTGGAGGGATTACGTGACCCTCTGCTGAAGATTATAAACAGCTCCCTTGAGCAAGGAGTTTTTCCAGAGGGTTTAAAAGAGGCGGTGGTCTCTCCCCTGCTGAAGAAACCAGATTTAGATCCTTCGGTTCCCTCCAGTTACCGCCCAGTTTCGAATCTCTCGTTCCTGGGCAAGGTGATTGGAGAGGGCAGCAGCAGAGCAGTTGCAGCAATTCCTAGACGACACAGCCGGACTAGATCCCTTCCAGTCCGGCTTCCGTGCGGGGCATGGGACAGAGACTGTGCTGGTCTCCATCACGGATCACCTTCGATGCCAGCTTGACCAGGGCGGGTCAGCGCTGCTTGTGTTATTGGATCTCACAGCAGCATTTGACACAGTCGACCACAATCTTTTGACTCACCGCCTTGCTGCTGTTGGAGTCAGGGGGACAGCTTTAAATTGGCTGTCCTCCTTTCTTCACAACCGTGGACAGTGAGTGGAGAGGGGAGGCCTGGTCTCTGAGAGGTCCCCTCTATCTTGTGGGGTTCCTCAGGGGGCCATTCTCTCCCCTCTGTTGTTTAACATCTATATGCGACCACTTGCTCAGCTGGTTCGAGGTTTTGGGCTTGAGTGTTACCAGTACGCTGATGACACTCAGCTGGTGCTGAAGATGGAAGGCTGACCGGACTCTGTACCCGATTATTTCCATCAGTGCCTCGAGGCCGTTACTGGATGGCTGTGTGCCAGCAGGTTGAGGGTAAATCCAGGAAAGACAGAGATCCTATGGCTAGGTCGACCGGGCAGTGGGGATACCCAGCTGCCTATCCTGGATGGCGAGGCACTACGCCCATCATCATTGGTAAAGAGTCTGGGAGTCCTTTTGGACCCTCTGCCGACGATGGAGGCCCAGGTCTCCGCCGTTAGCAGAACCGCCTTTTTTCATCTGCGGCAGGCCAGACTGCTGGCCCCCTACATGTCCAGGGACGACCTAGCTACGGTGATCCAGGCTACGGTCATCTCAAGACTGGACTACTGCAATGCCCTCTACATTGGCCTTCCTCTGTCGGTGATCCGGAAGCTCAAGTTGGTACAAAATGCAGCTGCTCGGCTTCTTGCGGGAATTCCGATGAGATGCCACATAACACCAATCTTACTGCAGCTGCACTGGTTACCAATTGAGCACCGGATCACTTTCAAAGTGATGGTACTCACCTTTAAGGCCTTGCATGGTCTGGGGCCGATGTACCTGAGGGACCGCCTCACCCCCTACCAACCCCAGAGATCCCTCCGTTCTGAGGACCAAGATCTATTGGAAATTCCCAGTGTCAAGACCTTGCGTCTAACAGCAACCAGACGCAGAGCCTTTACAGCAGTGGCACCATCACTCTGGAATACTCTGCCACCTGAAGTCCATGCCTTGTGGGACTTATCAGCTTTCCGCAGGGCATGTAAGACATATCTGTTTCGACAGGCCTTTGATCTTTGATATTGCTGTTTTTAAATTGTTTTTAAATTGTGTTAGATTTTAGCCTGTTCTTTTAGCCAGCGTACCTGAGGGCCCGCTTATCCCCCTACCAACCCCAGAGATTAATTCGGTCCGAGGACCAAAATTTGCTTGAAGTCTCCAACATCCGGACTTATCATCTGTCCTCTACTAGGCAGAGAGCCTTCTCGATTGTGGCCCCTTATTTATGGAATGCCTTGCCAGTTGAAACCCGAACCATCCGAGAGCTACTTGCTTTTCGGAAAGCCTGTAAAACCTTTCTTTTCCGACAAGCTTTCGATGGGTGAATAACTCGGGACTATGTCTGTTCTCGTTTTTATTGTATTTTAAAGTTGGTTGTATTGTTTTTAATCTACTGCTGTAAACCGCTCCGAGCCAAATTGGGAGTGGCAGTATACAAGTCAAATAAATAAATAAATAAGCCGCTCTGAGCCCCAGGGGAGTGGCGGCATATAAGTTTGAATAATAAATAAATAAATAAAATTAAGCTGAAAAGTTCAACCGAACAAACTTCTTTGCAAAGTTTTTGCTGCTCCGCTGAATTGAAGCAGCAAAAAGAAATAATTTCCAGATTATTAGTATGATGGTAATCCGTGACAGCCAGATAACATTGTTGTGGTGCAATAAATACCCCAAACATGATCCTGGCATAATAAAAGGCCATAAAATGCTAACCAATTATTTGAGTAATACTAATACGATAAATTATCTAAGAGGCTATTGGCTAAATTTTATTTTGGCAAATATTTTGTTGAAGTTGCTGAAGCTGCGGCTATTTCCCCATTTTTTTCTAATTATTAAATATATCAATATATCTCAGTATTTTGTCAGACTACTTATTTAAGACTACAGTATATCTCAGTATTTTGTCAGACTACTTGTATACCAGCCAGTTTTCATCATTGATTTTAAACTCGTGCCTTGTTTTAATCATTGTTCTATGTATTTTAATATATGTATTTTGCAGAAATACATTTTAATATGTGTATTTTATATAATGATGATGAGTTTTTAGCTGTGTTATAACCTGCCTTGAGGAGAGGTGGTTAAGAAATAAAATTGTTGCTGCTGCTGCTGCTGTTAATGTTATGTGTATGTGTATCTCTCTCTCTCTCTCTCTGTGTGTGTGTGTATATATATATATATACACACACACACACACACAAAAATTAGTTCTAGTGTATAGCATGTATTCATGTAATTCTGATACTTTTATATATCTAAAATGTCTGTGTTTTTTATTTAGTGTTTTTCCAGAATTATTTTTAAAAATCAGATAGATTTCTATAATCTGGACTGCGATACTTTGCATAAAGCTCTGACTTCTCCCCTCATTTTTCTATGAGCACAAATAAAAATTGAAGCACAGTGGAA